GGGAGGTGGTGGGGAGGAGGTGGCCGCGAAGCGGCCACCGACTCACCACCACCTCTCAGGCGAGCGAAGCGAGCGATTTCCTGGTCGCGCCGCGCGGGTGGGTAGGCGGCGCCCCGGAAGGGCCGCCGCGAAAATTGAGGTGTGGGAGGTGGGACGTAGTAGTTACAGCTTTTTTTCCTTGTATGTACATAAGTCTTTGCTGTGTGGTATGTTCATCTCTTAACTTTTGACACTTAATTTTTCAGTCGCGCTCAGCAAGAGTGGGCTGTGAGCTGTGGGCCGTAGATAAATACCGAAGAGCAATGGAGGGCGACAGGGTGCTGCAGTACGATATATTGCTATTGCGCGAAGGTATTCTTAATGGCAATGCGCCGTTGAGTGGTCGCGCAGGGACAAAAGTCCATGGACGCCCCGCTTTTTCCTTTACCGCAGCCTGCGTCTTGAATTCTGAACTTCCAACGTCTATTGACGCTGCCCTCCTCTCTTCGCCTGACCACCTGCGGCAGCAGTATCAATGAGCATATGCTGCAGCCGCAGTCCCAAGTCATACTCAGCATGGCGTCGTGACATTTATGAACATCTATTCGCTGTACCATGCGAGCGACGCAACCGCGATTGGGATTTCTCCATCCTGCGTCTTCGAGAAGACGCGTGAGAGGGTTCAGTACGAGTAGGCGATTCAGGAGCCCTGATACATCGCAGGAAGATGGCGAGACTGGCTTCATTGAGTGGTCTCCCGGCAAAGCTCCTAACGGACCGAGCGCTAGGTCGTCGGTGACAGCCCGCGCAGAGAGGACGGAGTATCTAACTACGCACAGGCAGCCGAGCTCAGTGGGTGCAGCAAAGTATACGTTCAGGCAACGAGAGCCAAGCGATCCCACGCAGGAAAATGCCGAACCACCCAGACGCGGACGGAGAATTATCTACGGGGCGGTAGTGCCGCTGAAAGGCATTCTATTCGATGCGCCCAATCTGCATAATGGTCATGCGGGCCAGCAACGTGCAACAACACGCAAAGGAGGAGCAGGATTCGATCCTAAATCTCCAGAGGTGCTCGAGGGGTTCGGGGATATGCTGCAGAGTTTGAAGGGCCTACAAAGACACGTAGCCGAAACAGCCTCCAACGCGCCATCACAGCGAGCTCCTCCTAGCAGTACCGCCTCCGACCGACCGGACCGCCCACCGCCACTAGAATCACCCGTCTCGAAGATAGTCACAGACATATTCAAAGAAGCGCAGCGCCCACTCAAAGCGCCGCCACCTCCGGAGGATATCACACCACTAGATCAAGATCCCTGGGCGGAAATGCTGGCGACTCCTGTACGGCTCTGTGCTGGCAGTGGAGCGAGAGTGCCGAGAGGCTTGATGGCCGAGTGGAGTGTGGTGCAAGATGAGGAGGGTGATGGCAATCTCTGGCTATTGCCTGCCGGGTTGGCGGATGTGGGTAAGTCGGAAAAGGATGTGGCACTGATAGAGGAAAAGAAGCGGAGGAAGGCTGCGAAGAAGGCGGCGAGCGGAGGGCACTTGAGACCTGGGTCGAGCGGGAGCATGGACGCAGGCGATGCTGTGGACGCCGTGGCAGAAGCCCAAGAAGAGAATGGGGACTTCCAGTACGACGAACACAACGACGTGCATCCGGCATCGCCTCCTGACACCGACATCAGCAACACCAGGAACTCTGTCCTCTCCTCTCAATCTAGACACCTCTCAGCCACCAGATCCCGACCCCTCGCCACCCACCTCGTCCCACACCTCAACCTCATCCGCCAGCTGACAGTCGAACTCACCCTCATTCCGCCCCCAAAAGCCAAAAAAGGCGCTTCGGCGTCGTCAACTACTAGCGACAACACTGCCCCACTACAGCAGGCCCAGCTGAAGACCCAACACTCCGCCATTCGCAATTTGCTGCCGACGCACCACAAGCAGAAGCTTGATGCGCTTGGTCACTTTGAGCGAATGCATGGGACGGCGGCGGGCAAGAAAGGCGCAGCCAAGGACCAGTCAGCAGCGCCGCTGACTCAAAGCTCCGAGGAAGAAGACCAAGCTATTGACGCTGGCGATGACCTCGATAAACAGCTCCGCGCGGACGATGTAAGTGGCGTGCAATGGGACCCCCTCATCGCGGGGCGAATGGTCACAATCCTGCGCGAGCGAGTCATCGAAGGGCTCAAGGTCGTCCTTCGGGAGCATGTGAAGCATGAGAGGGACGACTCCTCCGTGCAGAGGATAGCTATCATCGAGGGCAGCCTGCGATCCCCGTCCTCGTGGAGACCATCCTTGCAGGACCTGAAGAAGGCTGGTCTTGTGCTTGGGCCCAGTCGAGCAGCGCTTAATGACAACGCTAAGGACTCGCTCAATGCGGCTTCTGCGTGGGAGGTGGGGAGCGGCTCAGCAGCAACGCCAACGACCGACAACAGGCCGCTCTTGTTGGGTTCCAAAGGCGAGATCCACCCACGGCGGCCCCGGGTCATGCTGCATCTGGGCTCTTGGCCTTATCAAGTGCTCCTCGATTGGAGCCCGTCTGTGGCAGCTGCTCCCATTCTCGTCGAGGAAGAAGCAGGCCACGACCAGCGCAGCAAGTCTCTGGCGGAGACGTCGGCAGCGAGGAGCTTAGTGCCGCCGATGCTGGCGGGATTGGGGCGGTCGAAACCGAAGGTGCCTTATTTTCCGCTGCTACCGATGTTGGGGGCGGACGGCTTGATGCGGGTCAAGGCTGAAGTGCTTCGGCTGCTCGACCCCAAATCATCCCCCGCAGAGGTTGGTGGCGCTGGCGATGACGGCAAGGGCGGTGGAGACGCTGCCTTCAGGAGGAAGCACTGCATTGACATCTTCCCTCCTAAATGCGCCAACGGCGATGGCGGGGGCTTCAGCTTCAGTGCTGGGCGCGAGTTGTCGGAGGCAGAGGCTCAGCTCGAACGTATCCGCGCCCTTCTGACGACACCTCCGTCATGCCCTGGCTCACACAACAATCATGTCCACAGCAGCGACGGCTTCAACAATCTCACTACTGCTGCTGGCAACAGCGGCGACGACGACGACTCCCTCATGTTCACCGATCCCTTCTTTCCCACGCAGTCAGAAAAAGCCCCGACCACAACAGGTCCGTCACCGCCGCCAACGCACCCGGAGGATAAAGATAGCGAGAGCATAACCCTCCTCCTCCGCGCCTCGACCCGCTATCTGCCCCTCCTTCTCCCGCATCTGTGGATGCTCTGGCGGTATGTGGGTGGGAGGAGGTGTCTGGAATTGTGGGAGGAGGGGATTGATTGTGCTGATGGGAGGGTTGTTGGGGATCCGCGGGTTGAGGCGATGGCTTCTCCGAAGGAGAACAAGGGATGAGGTAGGTTGAGTGTGTATATAGGTCGTTTCGCTATACCCATGTATAATTACACCAAGCACTCACCTAGAATTAATTCGAGAGATGTGTCGTCTACGACACGCAAGTTGGAACATCCATTGTCGAGTGATTCAGTATTCTGTGAGCCACGAGTATTGGAATGAGTCGTTGCAGCCCTCAATTATCTGTATACACTAGCCAAACTCTACACCACCGTTGCCATGCTATCCTGGTCTCAACTCGTTTGATCCAATCCATACAGTTCTGTGCGCCTTGCTCGCTCGCTTGCCCATATCCTGACGCCATATCACAAAATTCATACATAATAAAGTGTTAGACCCTGTGAGTCGCGAGCGTCGGCGAGGGCGGTCGACGAAGACTCAGTCGATCGGTTCTAGTAGAGGCCTCCGCGCTGCTTGGTCGTCGATTGCTGGCCGTGTGTCTTGGACAATTCATGTTTCCAGGCAAGCAATGTGTCCGTTAACCGCTGCTGTTCTGACTTTGAGGCGAGAATCGCAGCTCAACCGACGCGGTAAGCGTCATAAATCACCTCCGCACCACGCCTGCACCCACTGCCAACCCACATGCATGTATTGAGGAAAGCGTACCGCTCATCACCCGTCTCGAGCTCGAGGTTGATGCGGAACTTATACTGAGTAGGCGGAGTCGTATCAGCCGTCTGATTGTCCTGCAGCCTCTCCAGCACATCCTTTGGCCCCGTGCGCCAGCCAATACTCTTGACTGTGATATATGCGGGCGGCTCGTCTTGGGTCTGGAGAAGGTAGCTGGCCTCGACGCGTGTAGCCAGATCCTTGAGCACGAGCTGATTGTCCTGTCCACCTGGAATGACGACGCCCTTGCCCCATCGACCAGCCCACTGGCCGCCGATGAAGGAGATCCAGTTTCGCTGACCGAACATGGTGGGACCAACGGAGATTTTGGGGTTGAGTTTGACAGACATGCGGAAGTCGAGCTCGAGGGTTGGTGTTGGAATGGATAGGGAGCGGGCGACATCGTTCTCTTCGAAGCGGTGCAGGAGATTGTTGGCTGGGATGGACTCTTTCATGACATTCTGGTAGGTGGCACATTCGAGCAGATGTTGTCGCTGGCGGGAAGTGTTCTTGGCTCTGATCTGGTTGCAGTAGATGCATTGTACCGATAGGCACTTATCTTCTTCTTTGGCTCGGAACTCGACGAAGGCGGCATGGACGTCGTCGAGAGGAGGAGCTGGGATATTGCCTCCGCCTGACGCGCTTTTGGGAGTCGGCTTCGGCTTAGGAGTGGGACGCTGTTGCATCGGAGTCATGTTGGGAGGGCCTGCGCCCATGGGGCCCTGCGAGAAGCTGGTACCAGGAGGAAGAGACGGTCGATTCGGCATTGAGACGCCCGCTGGCGTGCCTTGAGGAGTGCTCATTCCGTTAGCCATACCATTAGGTCCAGCGAGACCTTGCGCCGGGCCATAGCCTGATGAGCTACCCGGCATGCCGCCATCGTTGGACTGGGGACGGGCATTGGGCTGATTCTGGAGGCCTGGACACTCGAGGAGATGCTGCTTCTGACGTGAAGTGTTCTTTGCGCGGATCTGCTGACAGTAGATGCACTGAACGGAGAGACACTTGTCGTCTTCTGCGGAGGTGAGATGAGGTTAGCGATGATGAATGCGTGATGGATACAGTATTGGTATGTTCGGTATGTATGCGTAAGAAGAACAAGGTATCGAAATGAGCGGTATTACCTTTGGCGCGAAACTCCACGAATGCCGCGTGCACGTCCTGGTCGATCGAGCGACCCATTTCGAACGGGACAAAGGCCGGACAGTCTATCGCAGTCACCCGATTGCTGCCGATTGATGAATTTTGATGCCGTTGTGATGGCTATGACGAATGAGCAGAGTGGTAGCCCTGAGGTTTCCCTCGCGTTTCCTGCCCAGCCATTTCGGTATCGCGCCAAGCCTGTACCCCGCCAAAACAGAAAAATCGCCCGAAAGACTCGCGTCACTTCGTACCAGTATCACCTCCAACATCCGTATTATCGTGGGCACATCTGTGGAAAGAGTGGCAGGTCATTGCAAATGCAATCGCGCTTCATCAGGTCCCTGCGTCATCGTAGACCCTCACCGGCGCCAGTTCCTTCGCACAAACAAAGTGTCGCCGCAGAGAGTCAATCAATCACGTGAACACGTCAATTGCACTGGCAGTGGAATTGGGCCAGGGATCACTCCCGGGGTCGTTCACCATGACTGACCCGGGACGAGACCAGCTATCGACATGACACACCTTGTAAGCTGCAGCTGTCTGCAAGGTACATGTAGACTCACCCGCGACTGACTTCAGCAAGGTACAATGCCAGTTTCGATTCAGCAATCACTCCGGTTGATCATGAAAGATGGTAATATTTTGCGCTCAGCAATCACCACTGGCTCATTGCTCCGGCAAGCCAAGAATCGCTTGTGCAGTCTTGCAGTAGGTACTGTACAAGCGTCCTCAAGTGCTCCGCCGCATGCGACATTCTGACGCACATACTTGACAACGGAATGCAGACGTTTAACACGGGAATCAATCACACGTGCTGCAGCCAAGTCTCGGACAGGCTGCTGTCGCCACGAGAGTCCGTTCGCCAGCAGAGAACACTTATTTGATGCGTATACTCCCGCAATCGACATGACATGGCTATGCAGGCAACACAGATCGTCGACAGACCGTTGTGGGATGAAGCTGTCCAAGCGATCGAGCAGACAGACAGCTGGCGCCAGTGCGGTGACATCTTGCAGAAAGCAACACGAACCACTGTCTCGAAGCCGTCAAAATCGAGTCCTGTACCGGCTGCCGCATCCTCGTCTTCTCGTGTAGTTGCTAACGACCTGACGACCATCTTGGAAGACATCCAGAACAGTGCAGCTGCATTCAGAAACAGCAAGTTGCAGCGTCTCAAGGACTTCGGCGCCAAGATTGCCGACGTGCTACAGACTATCAAGGACGTCGGCTCCGCGGCAGCTTCACTAAATCCATACGCATCGCTCGGCTGGAGCTGCATTCAATACGTGCTTCAGGTCATTACGACCAGTCGCGAGATCAAACACCTGTTTCTCGACCATTTACCGCGTGTTGTATCGCTCATTACTCGTTATCAGACACTCCAGTTGGTGTACAGTTTTCCGCCAGGCACAAGCAAGTCGAACAGCTTCTTCGAAGAGGCGCTGAAGAAGCTATATCAATGTCTACTCCAGTATGAGGTTGAGGCCATCATCTACGTCTCTTCCAGGAAAGCGAGGTTCAAGTCTGCATTCAAATCAGTAAGCGACAGTAGTGTCCAAAAGGCGTTAGACGACATCGTAGTGCAAGAAGCCCAAGTCAATACTCTGAAGCTCGATGTTGCACACGAAGCGGAAGAGGAACACTTCCGGATGCTTGAGACAAATCTGGCCACGCTTTCCCTCCAAACCGAGCCACATCTACGACACATCTCAAGCTTCATTCAGGACGAGCAGCGGGATAAGATCCTCGCTTGGACGTCAGACTACATGTACGAAGATTCACACAATCGATACAGAAGCGGCACTCATGGTAGCACAGGTGAGTGGCTTTTGCAGGACTCGCCGGAGTTTGATGATTGGCAGAACGACATCAAATCGTCAGCTTTCTGGCTGAAAGGCTTCATGGGCTCGGGAAAGACAAGATTGACCGCTATAGCCATCGATGCTATGAGTGAGCGCCTGGATCAGGCAAAGGGGGAACGTCTGGCATACTTCTACTGCGATGGGACCGATGAAACCGCGAAGAAAGAGTTCGCAACCGCTGCATCCGTCCTGCGATGCCTCCTCAAGCAAGTGGCTGAAGGCAGGATGATCAAGTCAACGTTGCCCTGGTCAAGGCTTACAATGCTCAGCATTCGCGCTCTAAATTGACCATCGAACAGTGTCTTGAGCTGATATGCAGAATCACCGCAAGTTGTCCCACAATCTTCATATTCCTGGACGGTCTGGACGAATGCGAGACCAGCGTGCAAGATGACTTGACTCGTGCCTTCAAGAAGGTGATGGACGAAGCCTTTTGCACGATCAAGTTGTTTATTTCCGGAAGACCACAAGTCGAGGTCGCCATGTCTGATGTCAATCCCACGGTCATCGATGTACGCGAACGAAATGCCAATGACTTGGCTGCTTTCATCCGCAAAGAGAGCTGCGATGCCGCAGTAAGGCCAAGAACTAGAGCACTATATATCAGGGACGGTGTCTCTCGTCGCGAAGAAGTCGAGCGCAGGATCACTGAGAACGCCGACGGCATGTTCCGATGGGCCCAAATGGCGTTCGCTTTCCTACATCAGACTTCCCGTGCCAGGGGCGTTCCTAGCTATGATGGAATGACCGAAAACCTGCAGAGATTGGGACAGCTTGACGGCCTCTTCGCCCTGTATGATGCGATATGGCTGTCCATCAACGAAGGACTTCCGGAAGTTGACAAGACCCGCTTGCGGTGTTTACTGACCTTCATGCTTTACGTGACGAACGATGCTACGTTTGTGGGCCAGGTAGCATGAACATCAGACAGGTGAGCGAGAGTGGCGGTGATGCTACCTCGGAGACAGACCAGATTATGGCCCTATGTCCCGACTTCCTGCGCCACGGACGCTCCGGTCCGCGATTTCAGCATTTTTCTGTCCGAGAGTATCTGATCGAGCGACAAGCACAGGATTTTGGTTCCGGACCAGGCAACCTTTTCGTTGCCAAACTCTGTATTGAGCAATTGATCGCCTGCTGTTCTCCTCGCACAAATGCCCCAGAGCCGGCCACCGCCTCATTCCATGAATTCAGCATTCTGAAGTGGGGCATTCATCTTCACCGGGGCTTGGAAGCTCCAGACTCTTCCGAGATGGCCCCTGGTGAGAGGAAGAACATACGCAGGTTGGTAGACAACTTCTTGGGAGTCGAGAGGGCATCGCCTGCCTGGATTTTATGGACCAGAGCATTCGACAATGCAGGATCGCAACCAGGCTTCAGAACGTTGTGGCAAACACCGCACCGATCATTGGAGACCCTATTACAAGCGCTGTCCAGGGATCAGCCTCCAGAGTGGCAACCTATGCACAGCTGGTGTACCGACCCACCCTCTCCAGTCATCGCTCGTATTGTCTTTGGCTTGGGAATCGAGCAGCTTGCCACAGAGGCACTGACAATCGGTGTTCGGTGCGAGGGCCAGTCCGGCACTGTACGATTAGAGTCCACGCGCATGAGCCTCGATCCGATGTGGTATGCCCAACTCTACCGGGATGGAGACAGTGTTTCGGTACTCGAGAAGAAGGGATTCAACCATCATGATGTTTCGGACATGCGAACAGTGGTAAATGGTCTCAAGCTCGGGGCGCCCGGTCGCCTTATCAGGTTCGGAAACGAGAAGAGCTCTTCACGAACAGCCGCCGGTCTGGAGCTTGATTGGTGGCGTCCGACGCGTCATCTGGCCGTAGCACTGAGATTAGGGTATTGTCCAAGGATAACTCAAAAGACACGAGGTAATGGTCATCCTCGAAGCGGTCTCAACGCTGTGACTGGGAGGCGTCATGTTCAAAAGGGAACGGAAGCAATGCAAAATTTCGTTTGGTCAAGTCATGACCTCTACGCACGATTGAAGAATGCATTCTGCGATAGTCGAACGTGTTGATCGCACCAGCAACGAAATGGAACATTCGCGTTCAAGCTTCGCAACACGAGGTACATTATGTACTTATCGCTGCCGATACCGCGGGTGTGTGGCTTACGACACGCGGAGTGCAGGACGCAAAAAGGCATGTCATGACCCGGCAACCACGACTAGCCAGCCGAGCACCCACCGCAACGTCCCGCCATCACACCCGCTCCCGCAACAACACAGGCAATCCCCTTCCCGTAACAATCGCCGTCATCCCCCTCTTCACCTCCAACCGACACCCCGGATCCACCAATTGCACCTCGAACCGCATCAGTAAACTCGCCGTCACTTTCAGCATCTCCGCCCACGCCAAATGCACTCCCAAACAAACCCTCTTGCCATGACTAAACGCGAAATTCGTGCGGTTCATCAAACTCGCCTGCGCCGCATCGATCCCATCGAGCCACCTCTCAGGTAAGAACTCGTGCACGTCGTACCGATCGTGTGGGTCGAAGACGCTGCGGTCGAGTTGCAGGGCTGCTTTGTTCAGGCTCACGACCGTGCCGCCAGGCAAGAACGTCCCAGCGATAGCTACGCCGCCTACGGGAACTTCGCGTTCAGTCGGGCCTGATTGAAGGGGTTGGACGCGTTGAGCTTCTTTGATGCACGCCTCCAAATACGGCAGTTGGTTTGCGGCTTCGGTATAGGGTGGTGGGAAACGCGAGAAGGTCGCTTCACCAATCTCCTGCTGCACGCGCGCAAGGGACTTGGGATGTCGGAGGAGAAGGTAGAAGAGGATCGTAAGGCTGTGCGCCGTCGTCTCCGTCCCGCCATGCACGACCGCCAGGGCCAACGCTACAATGCGCGGGTTGGAGAACAACTCTGGATCTTTCTGCTGGGCTTGAAAGAACCTGTCCAGCAGATCGGCGTGTGCGAACGCCGCGCCACCCTTCTCAGTACGCTCCACGACACGCTTGGCGGCTATGGTCGTGATGAGCTCTGGTCTCGCAAAGTGTGCGAGGAGAGGGTTCTTAAAGACTAGCGATTCGAGATAGGGCGCCGCGAGCCAGTTATTCCAGTGCGCGAAGCGGATCTGGCCGCCGCGGCTGGTGTCGGCGACCGCAGCTGTTCGAGACGCGAGAGGCGTGTCGTCGCTGATGCCCAACGCGGGAGATCGTGTCGAAGGTGAAGGTGGAGGCCCACTGTTGGAGGTTGACTTGTGGGCCGGCGGATGCCAGGGCCGCGAGTAGCTGGGTGATGCTGTCGTCGATGTGGTGCTCGAATTCGAGGACTGCCGTGGTGCTGAAGACGTGTGCAATGTGGCGCTTTATAGCGGAGATTTGGGTTTCGTCACGACTGGAAAGCAGAGTTGACACAACGCCGCGGCCAGGGATGTATGGTGAGACCGTGTTGTACGAGGCGGCTTTCGGAAAGGGCTTGGTCGTGCCGTAGACGAGCGGGATGGCGTGTTGGTCGCTGAAAAGGACGCGATGGGGGCCGTAGCGGATCAATTTGCTGTTGGGGTATCGGGCGGCGAGGCTGGCGGTGGTCTGGCGGTAGTCGCCGAAGCGCATGACACAGAGGAGCCATATGTCAGTGAGAGAGGCGAGGAAGGGACCGGGGATGTGTCGGAGGGCGAGATGGCGGCGGATGACGGCTGCGAGGGTGAAGAGGAGGAGAGCGGCCGCGGTAAGGTCCAAGACATTGAGACAATGGCCGTAGATGAACATGATGTCGAAGGAGGGTTGTTGGAGCACAGAGGAGTCGTTGGTGCGTCTGCTTATCACTGGTGAAGCAACGAGCTCGATGGCTCCTCGACCGTTACATATCTCTGGTACATGTAGTCGAAGACCATATCACGCCGGGCGGAATAGTGCCGTGACAATCATTGCAAGATCGTCATTTCTTGATAACCCTAGACGTTCGTTCAACCTTACATAACATTCGCCATCCTGGTCAGCGTGTCTCCGGGAGGCCTCAATGATGTGCACGGCTTCCCTTGACCTGACTCGCCATCGCGCCTACCTTTCCTGGTGCAGAACCTGCGAGTTGCCTCGTGGCAGCGTCGGTGGATGCTGAGGAGAGGTTGCATGAACACGTACGGTGAGCGGACGAGCAAGTAAGCTGCTGAGGCGCTGAGACGCGTGTGGTGCGATCTGATCGTCGACCTAACTCTGCAATGCGCGCTCACAAGTGTGCTTGACTCCGAGCGGTAGACACTAATGATCGTACCTCCGTCGTGGCTATCTGCATTCTATGCGCAAAAAAATCCCGAGAATCGCGTAAGCCTAAGTATGATGGCAACGGCCTGTTCAGGATCTGGACTTTGAGCTCCGGTGTCGTTAAATCAGGTACGACTGCTACGAGCAGTCACCGTAAGTTCTTGCCAAGCGAGCTTCAGTCACAAGCTCTGAAATCCCGTCCTTCATCTTCGCCTCACTCACCACCCTACAACAAAAAAGCAAAAAGCAATGTTTGCGCCCTCGGTGAGGCTCGAACTCACAGCCTTGAGATACTCTTGATACTCATGACGAGCATATAAAAGTCTCACGCGCTAACCAATTGTGCCACGAGGGCATGTATTCGTAACGAAACACGAACCAAACTTTTTGGAAGTTGGTGTGGCAATTTTGTGCGATGTTTCAAGAGCAAAGTCGCAACATGCAAATATATATAGCTACAATAATTTTCGGCCTAGATCACTGACTCCAGGTTAAGGTAAAGTGATCGAAATAGGCTTTCCGGGCGAGCCAGCAGTAAGAAAATTGAGAAAAGTGATGATGCCATGATCGATCAGTATTTTCTACACTTATGTACAACGAACGGTCCCGCCTTTTGTATTTGCTCGCAGCTCCTTTGCTGGGCCGCAGCCCTTCCGGGCGGGCTCTGGCATGCTAGCTTACCCAAGCGGAATCAAAGCCATGCCCTTGTGCCGAATGGCAAGATCAAACGATCTTGTATACCTTCTTACACCACAAATAACAACAGATGGCAAAGCAACCCATGAAAGCCGTGATGCCCCAGAACCAATACAGGTTCTCGACTTCTTGGCCTGGGACCATTACGTTCATGCCTGTTACACATGTGTTAGCACAGAGTCCGCCCTGCTGGCTTTGAGAACAATAAGTCGAACTCACCCCACATCCCACAGATAACATTCATAGGCAACACAATCGTACCAATGACCGTCAGCTTCCCCAAGATATCCGCCGTACTCTCCTGCCTCTCTCCCATCCTAATATTCACCTGCGCGAGGTAGTTGCTGTGCGCGCGACTGAGACTGGTCTCGTAGTGCGCTAGATTGGCGGACATGGTGATGATGTGGTCTTGAATATCACCAAGGTACAGCCCGATCTCAGAGCGAGGCGCTACTTCCCATTGCTCGTTGCAGCGCTTCGCGAAGCCCTTGATGACGTCTGCTTTCTGGCCGAGGAGGCGATAGAGCGAAGTGGTCTTCTTGCGGCACTCGCCGATGCGGCGGAGGACGGTGATGCCTGAGGGAGAGGTTGGTGGAGGTGCCTCGTCCTTCTCTGACCATGGCTTGTTCGGGTCGGCTTTCTTCTCCTTGCCCGTTCCGACGGCAGGCGCGAAGTTGTCGGACTCGCCGGCCAGCTCGTTGGTGGAGGACAGCGCGTTGAGGATGATCTCGTCGATGTCGTCGACTTCCTCTTCAATACCGGTGATCAGAGGCTGGTACACGTCGGTGATGTCGTCGATGATGGCGTAGGAGATCCAGTCTGCGCTCAAAATAAGGTAGTCCGTCAGCTGGCGGATCCGGCGCCGAACGTTGGCTGGGTGCGGCGTCTGATTGAAGTGGAACGTGATGATGCCGTGTCGGAATACGCACACGTACATGTTGACAGGCTCAAGGTAGTCTTCGGAATTGGGATCCTGCTCAAACGTGCGGTAATTGATAAAGTAGTAATTGCGAAAGAGCTCGACCTTTTCGCGTGCTTCTTGCATCATGATATCCTCGGAGGTCAAGGCGTGGATGCCGAACGTCTTGCAGAGGACACGCATCTCGCATCGGTAGGCGACAATACATCGAGCCAGAAGGTCGGTCGCGGTCCATACTTCTTCTGCTTTGGTTCCGGTGTCTGCGATTGCTGTTGCGGAGTTGCTTCGCCGGAGACACGCGAAGCCTTGCCTGAGCCTTCTCTGCTACCTGAAGGCTTGACCAGGCCATCGAGGCGAGAATTCAGGGTCGATAAGGGTACACCGCTCGTAGAGTCCGCGTTGGGCGACATCGCTCGTGAGGCAGCCTGGGGTGGAGGTTGCTCTTCCTCGCTTTCGCTGGACTCGCTGGACTCAATGATCTCGGGCGGATCGGGAATGAACAGCTCTCTGAAACTCCCGCCTTCCTGAACAAGCTCGGAAATTGTCTGAGCATGTATGGTGCTCTCGAACTCCTCGTTGAAGTAGGTGTATCGGTACGGCGCCTCTTCGACCTCGCGACGCCACATAGAGTTCCTCGGCCTGAGACGCCCATTGACCAGTACAGGCTCATTGACTTTCTTCGTGCGACGTTCACCATCCCTCATCTCCTTCTCGTGATAGCTCCATTCGTCCAGAACCCACAGCTTGGGCCAAGCTCTTCGCCTGTGCCTGCGCGGACGGCTCAAGTTCGATACGGTTGGGTGTAGATCCTCCTCAGCCATATCAGACAACTCCTCGGGAAAGCAAACATCTTCCTCACCCGGCCTTTGATGTGAACGATGTCGTTGGATGCCTTCTGGTCTTAGTCTAGGGGATGGAGGCGCCGAGTTGGGCTCATTGTCATCGAGCAGATCCTCGTCGATATCAATCAGAGCATCCCGGCTACCCATACCCTGCGTTCGGCGGCTTTCGAGTGAGCGAGGCAGGAAATTGTCGGTGCCAACCATGACATCTGCTGGGTCATCATATGCAGGACTGGCAGGTCGTGAGGGTGGATTATTGACATCGTACTCGGGCTGGCTCGGGAAGCTGGTACCAGTCTTATCGGTACCTCTTCTCTTTATTGTCCTGGTTCGTGATGAAGCGCTAGACGAGTGTGAATCCTTCTTGTACAAGCCGTAGTTTGGTGCATTGTCCGAGATCCTGTGCTGCTGGTGTCCGCTGATGAGGGGAGTGCGATCATTGGCATCGTCGTTCTCGTCGATGCCCGCAAAGTCCTCCCGACCGCCGTTACCACGACTTTGAGGGCGTATGCCAGGACTAGTGGCATTCTTCGCAAAGCCTGGACTCTTGAACCCGTTCCCTCCCACGCTCTTACTAAGGCCGCTAGAGAACATGCCCGGCAACAGCCTTGAGTCCCGCCTGGGCCGCATGCTGGGCTGCTCGCGGTGATCGTTGAATAGCGTCTCGCTATCAAGGCTATCGTTGCTGTATGTTCTCTTGCGCTGGTAGAAGTCTCGTCTGCGGACTCCGTCTCTGTCTCCTGCTCCAGATGCTTCCATGATTGCATGGTCTATTCCCGTGTTTCTGTTCCTGTTCTCGCCACCCGATTCATCGTGATAATCCGCCGAACCGATGTCCGATGGGGCAATGAAGGATTGCCGGCGAGCCTTCGCTTTCTTCTTCTTGCCTCCGCGATGCCGTCGGCGGTTCTTGTGCTGTGATGTAGTGTTTTCGCTTTGCGGGACTTCGGGCGTACTCTGTGTCTGTGTAGGCGCTGCGGGTGGACGCTGCTGATCATTCGCTTGGGCTGCAGAACCACCGCGCTGCGGTGGAGGCAGAGGATGCATGATCTTGGAGGCTCAGAGAAACAGTCGACGTGTCAACAAGACTACTGTCGGGCGGACTCTGTGACTTTCAGCCCACTATCAGCCTCGAACCGATGGAAGGTGATCAGGATCGGCGTAAAGCAGCAACAGCCAAGCACTGGGGAGGCCGCTGTCGAAGCAGGTGCGATAGCGTATCGTGTTCTGACACTGATGAATGCCTAGCTGCCCTTCGAAATCGCCAGGGCGGCCTCTGTCGTTGAAATGATGAAAAAACAGTAATATTGTTGAAATGAAGTCCAGGTCACGAATTCGATCAAGCAGGACTCACAGACTTACCAAGACCAATAGACGCGCAAAAAGTGACGTCGAGAGAAAAGCTTCGGGTGGGCTTCATCGGAACTTGAACTTTGGCCGTGGCGATCATCTCCTGCCAATCATCATTCATGGCATCGATGCGAACCCTACCACTGGCAAGCGGCATTGGACAATGTACGTGCTGTCTTCCTCAGGGCGTGCTCTATAATATTGGTAGCGTCGAAGAGGCAACCTGATAGCAGTGTCTGGGCCTTGTCGCACCGTACCTGATCATCCAGGAAACAACACCACCACCATCCGTGGCGGCAGCGGCTTGGCTGTGGACTTGAGCGACTCGGGGAATAGGTCGCGTGCCTGACTACCTAGTTGAGTCACAGGGATCTGGGAAGCACTTCGTTGGCAGAAAAACGGAAAGGTGTGATGTGAATAATCGTGTGCTTCCAAACGACGCTACGTTCATGTATGCATGTGTGTATATACAACAGACCCATCGTCGTCGTGCTCTCGCATGGCTGTCGTGCTGCGAACTCGCTTGCATGGCATTCATCAATGACTTTTGTACAGGCTTCTCCCTCCCAGCTCTGGGTCTGTTCATGTTCGTGAAGCTCTTTTTCTTCTCTCCTCCCTTTCCCGCTTGCTCTGCTCCTCAAACCTCCTCTTAGGGGTATCATCCATAATATCGTCTTCATTCAAGCCAACATCATTTTCTGTTGTTCTTTCCGATAGGCCATTTCCCCATCCTGCTTCTCTTGGTACCGTCTTCCTTGACACCACTGCTTGAGCCTGGTACCGCGTCTGATTGACCGATGAGTGGCTCTGAGAGCTGCTCGAAGGTTGGGAGGGGTGGTAAGGGTGGCTCTTCGTCGACAAAGGCTGGGAATGGCCTGATGACGTCGCTACTGGCATGACTTGCGGCCGTGTCGGATCGTGGCTGAGCCCTGGCACCGTCGCCAGATTGTTGTCGCTGATGGAACCGTTGCTGCTGTTGCTGCTGCTGTTGTTGTGTCTCGCTGCTGCGGGGCGATAGTGCTTCGGGGGAAGCGGTCTGTGGTATTGAGAGGCTTGATTGTGATGGTCGGACGTTATCGGTGGCCCGGTTCTCGTTGAATCGGACATGGGTAATGGTGGGAGGGGCGGACTGGCTTGCCTCGCGGGTCTCGATGGATGAGGTCCGCCATGCTGGTATGGCTGGTGGTACGAGCGTGTCGGCGGTGGTGATGGGGGAGAGTTGTTCGGTGAACTTCTCGTGGCTGCTGGTGGTAGCGCCGTGGGGAATGTCTTTGGCGCTGAGTCAGATGCTGTCTCGTAAGGCGGTGGGTGAGGATAGCGATACTGGGATGGACGTTGCGAATGGGTGGGGCTGGCATAAAAATAATCTTCATCGCTGTGGGTAGATGAAACAGAGCTGCTTGGGGAATGGACAGCAATCATAGGCGCCAGAGCGCCAGGTGTAACGCGTTCAGGTGATGCATAATGCAGCAGGGAGTGGGAGGAATCACCCTTGACAAGTCCCATTCTTTCTTCTTCCGTCGCATTCTTGTTGGCCCTCCTCTCATGACTGCTAGCTCGACTCGCAATACGAGGTCGCTGACTGGGCGAAAGTGTTGCATCGGGTTCGCTCGGGGTGACAGAACGGCGATTCCAGAAGTTGTTGAATGAAAATTGTCGTCGCGCTTCTTGATGCGGTTTCAGAGAGTTGGAGTCTTGCGGCAGTCTTGGTGACTGAGCGGCTGCGATGCCTGCTTCTTTGTCCTGTTGACGTCTTAGTCCCTTCGGCAGGCCATAGATATGCTCCTCGGCTTCGGCGAGACTGCCAGGACCGTAGGCAGTTACCGGGGTGTCTGGCTTTGTCGATCTCGCATCGATGGCTGTGAGAGGTACTGGACTCTTTGCTTCTTCGATGTCTCCACTTCCGCGGTGGTCGCGATGCATCACACTAAGCGTCCGCGCCCGCACTGTGTCGAAGAAGTTGTGGCTCTCGCGTACCTGCTCCTCTTCTGGGTCCGGAAACTTGGACATACCAAGCGGCGGATGAAGAGTCTGACGTCTCTGCGGCATACCGCTTCCCGGAGCTCCAATGACAGTCTTTCTCCTTCTTAGCCCATCCCATTCGACAACCTCGTTCTCTCGCACTGGCTCAAGGTGGTCTGCATCCGTTTCTCGTCGGAGTCGGTCTGCTTCATCCTCCTCCATTTTTCGCCGCGATTGTGAAAGTCGTCGGATGATGGCTGATGTGCCTCGAAGCGCATCCGCTTTCGGTTCTGATTCTGGTTGTTCCTGCTCGCCAATCTCTCTGATCTGGTCGAGATCACCCTTGAACACTGCCGCATCAGGCACATCTTTCGCAGACTTGCTCATCTGAAGCAGAATCACGCCGGAGCAGATCACCAGAAACCCCATGATGACAGTCGCAATCTGCACTCCAGTTCCGTGGAATCCTCGAAATAGAATGGCTGACGTGACTATCGTTGCGCTGGTGAACATGACGTAGTAGGTTGGCGTGACCAGTGCGGCGTTGAAGAGGTTCAGCGCCTTGTTGAGGTAGATGATCTCGGTCAGCAAAGTCGCCACGACAAAGACGAGCAGCACGTAGAGGAACCACTGATTGAACTGCGCTTTGCCACCAGCCTGCGCGACGACGGCCGATCCAAGACCCTGCGTAGCCACAACACTCAGTCCACCGATCAGACTGCAGATGCTGAGATATACAAGCATGCTCTTCTTGCCGTACTTGGGCGCAACCCAGAATGCCACGATGCCGCACCCGACGATGATGACACCGGCGTAACTCAAGAAACCGGGCGCAATGACGAAGTGTTGCATCTGCTGAATGTCGGCCACAGCTGACTGTTCGGGTGCGTTCATGACAATGACGATGCTGCCGATGATGCACAGGAAGCACCCAACTTTTCCGACAAAGCTGAGGCGCTCCTTCAGGAAGATCGCGCTCAGAACGGTTGTGACCACCACGGACAGCGCACCCAATGGCGTGACCAGGATTGCGTCGACGAAGGCGTATGCCACAAAGTTGCATATTTCACCAATGATCATAAGTGTCATGCCACCCCACCAGTGGAAGTTCTTCAAATAACCATAGCCTTCGCCCGCCTCTTCATTGTATTTCGCGTTGGCCTTGAGCAGACCAACCTTCTTCAGGACGAATGATATGCCGATGAAGATGCCGGACGCGATCGCGAGGGAGAGACCGACGGCGCGGTAGGCAGGAGGTCGTGAGGCTGGATCTCCACCAACGGCGGCTCGAGTGACGAACTCATGCTGGAGGCTATGGGCGGACGAATAGATGAGGTCTGCAGGAAGGTCGTTCATGATGGCTGTGAACTGTGCTGAATCGGTGCTGCAGACCTCCCCGAGGGTAGGGCACTATGGGTAGAGGGTATCTGGACGAGCTCCCACGCTATCGCAGAGCCATCGATGTATGTATTGAGGCTTTCGAGGTCGTAGCCGTAGACTCGTAGGGTCGCCCTGCCTGTTGTGGCCGTAGATATCGTGCAACCAACAAGTGTTGGGATGATCGCGAATTCGAGGCGGGTATGCACAGCCTAGGGTGTGACGATGCTCGGAAGGACTGTGTGGACAGCAGATGGAATGGCTGCGTCTTTCTCGGAGCTCTCGCTGCTTCGTTCGGATCGTCAAGTCGTGGCAGTATCACTCGCCGGCTTCGTTAAATCGTGAGATACTCAGACAAGGGTGTCGATGCGCTGGAAATCCTCAGTCGCAGTACCCAACAATTCGCTCAAGGAATCAGCAACTGCGACACGCCAACTCGGCCTTCTGGTGATAGCTATGCTTGCGTAATAGTGTTGGTGCGGTGAGTATAAAGCAGAAAGTGTTGCACCATTCTAGAACGTGGGAAGGTCAACCCTCATTCTCGCTACAGAAATCGAGACGGCGGGTCGCTCTTCGTTTTGGACGACGGCTGGGATGACGCAACTGCACAATCAAGGAACAGGCCTGGCCAGTTGCACCGCAGGAACGCAAAAGCTATGCCTAGAGAAGCCTAGGCCCGAGACTTGGGGATGCTTAGCCGAGCCTTCTTCCAGCCACGAAGACCACCTGGGCCTTCGTCTCGGCGCGTCTCTGAAACCGTGGAGGCGTTGCACGATATCATCAGCCCACGCACCATGTTTTATGCCTACCACAGCTGCTCATGGAGCCATTGCGTGTTCCCTCCCGTGAGTGTTGCAGCTTGCAATGGCGGAGCGAGAATTGTCGAGGAAGCTACCCATGGAAATACGGTACGGATTGCTTGCCATTGTTGTGGCCTGACCAGAACGGCAATGAGGACATCTGAGTCAAGAAATCTAGACGAGCAGGGATCTTGATAAGTTGTTTCACTCGCTGCAGGCGCTTCGCCTCCATCGACACATCATCAAAGGATCCGACATGCGCTGGCTGCAACGTTGCCACAGCTAACAAACACGGTTATGATCACCTTGTGCACACGTTCAGGTGCAGCCTAAAAGCACTATACACCAACGACAATTCTAGGTCACACGCAGTCGATTGCCATGTCTTCTAGCCCGCTCGAGCCCAACTCGCCATTCTCTTCCGCACCAGGGCACGTTTCGCGCTCGTGTCGCGATGCCTCTTCGACTTCCGCAGCGTCAGCGTCTTCGAACCACAGCACGCCCGGAGCTCCGTATGAAATGCAAAGTTCTTCGCTTTCGGCTATGTCACGGAGTGCAGTGTACCTTATGCATTGCTCAGACACCAGTCGCTGCCAACCGACGTTTTGTTTGAGAGTCGAATGATTGAACAGTGAACCAAGGCCCAGTGCTATTGCCTGAGTAGGCTTGCTGGAGCTGTCAGATGAGGGCCACGTGCTACAGGACTTCGTCAGCACAAGGGTGGTCGCTTCAGAGGCTTATCAGGACACAATGCGGCAGTACTAACTAGGTGTAGTGATCCAGCAAGGTATGCTTTGTGTGCTGCTCAACCTCCAACACCGGAAAGATCAACACTGGACTTATATCGATGACTGTTCCAGAACTGATGGGCCGAGTCGCGAACACCCCTCTGCCTAACAAAGGCGTCAGTCGAGGAAATTCTGCTTGATGAGAAACCAGAGCGCGATATACGACAGGAATCGAGGACGTGTACGGTCATTTCGCTGGTCTGTAACTGAATGCTTCGGCAGACCTACCTTTCGGTGTGTCAAGAACCAGAGCAAGGCCTTGTGCTCTTTGCAATTGCACTGCCTCTCGGCTGGCCATACAGCAGATGCTTCCAGAAAAGTCTTGGCAACAACACTATACGACGAACAGATATTGGGCGCCTCTGGGAGCCGATCTAGGTAGGTACAAGGACACCTCGTGATTGCAACGTCGATATAAGACGTTACGAGTAAAGTTCTCCGCCCGTCCAAAGGCGATGAATCAAGCAAGGTAGGCCTGCGTATAAACAAGTATTTTGTGCTCCAATATTGGCTGTGTTCCCGGAGAATGCCAATAACTCTCGAAAACTGCGTGTTGTACACTGACTGCAAAAGGCGAACCAGAGCCTTCGTCCCGCAGAAGGATTCGATCTCGGAGTACATCTCCGTCACCGACCGAGTCGGAGATCGCGCCTTTCTCCGAGCTCTTGCTATCGCAAGATATCACATCACCGGGCACGCATCACTGAAGAGGCCCGAGGAAACACGTATCCGGCGTCCTGCCAGCCTTTGCACATGGCGTCGGGGAGACCTCCACCGAACGTACTGCTGTTTGGAACTGGATCTGTTGGCGCGGTATACCTCTACGAGTTACTTGCAGCGGGATGCAAAGTGACCGCGGTTTGCCGTTCCAACTACGGCCAAGTGGCCGAGCATGGCTTTCGCTTGACGAGTGTACGGCACGGCAACCAGCAATACAGACCGACACAAGTCGTCCAGACCATCTACGAGTGCCAAGATGAGGTCTTCGACTACATTCTCATCTGCTCGAAAGCATTTCCCGGCAGTGTGCCCTCACTCGCTGAATTGCTCCAGCCTGCACTACAGAACAGGCCAGACACAGTGATTGTCATGGCCCAAAACGGCATCATGCTCGAAGACGAACTTGCCCAGGCATACCCTGACAATGTTCTTCTGAGCGGCGTGGTGTACCTACCTGCCACACAAACAGCACCTGGCGTCATTGAGTACCCAGAGATGCTGAACTTGCTGGAGCTGGGCACATATCCCGCGGACGCTACTGCTCCTGCCCAAGCAAAAGCCCACGACTTCGCTGAACTCATTCGCCGAGGCGGCGGCGCATCGGAAGTGCACGACAACATCCAGACTGCTCGGTGGACGAAGCTGGTCATGAATGCAACATGGAATCCTATCTGCGCCTTGTCGCTCTGTACAGACGGCGAGTTCCTGCTTAGCTCCGAACTCGCGTTTGACCTCGTCTGGAAGAACGCGCTAGAGGTCATTTCTCTGGCGAAGGCACTAGGCGTGCCCGGCGTGACGGAGGATGCTGCACGAAGCAAGCTCAAAATAGCCATCGATCGGTCCAAGAATGGGACAGGCCGTGCGAATAGTATGTTGCAGGATGTCAGACAGAATCGGCCTTTTGAGGTGGAAGCTATCCTGGGGAACATGGTAAGGCTAGCGAAGTTGCACGGCGTTGATGTGCCTAGGCTAGAGACGCTGTATGCCTTGCTCAAAGGCAGACTGGCTGCGCAGATGATCGCGGCAGCAGGGAAGACTCCATGAGTGTGCCTCGAGATGCTGTCTTATGCGATGTAGGGACAAGTCAGACCGTGTCCTTATCAGCAAGACTCGGAGGAAATGCCTCCACGATGAGGAATGATTTGCTTCTCAACTCTTTCAGGAGGACTCTCGGGGTGTACACATGCTCTCAAAGATGAGGACCGGCTCCAGATCCCTTGCAGCAAGGCTGATTAAAGGACTTGTGGGCTGTCCCAATCTATATGTGCGAGCGCTATGAGCGGCCGGCATACCGAATCAGGACTTCCCGGTCCCGCTCGGACCCCGCCCCCCAACCTAACATGGCGACGCGACATCTCTCCTTCTTCGTGAACTGGCCACTGTCCATCTCGGCTCGGAACTCTTCATGGCTGTCTTCGAGGACAGGACGGAAATGACGCCGTTCACAATGTAGGACAGTGTGGAAGCCTGAGTACTCACGTGATGCAGCCGTATTTCGAACTGTGAGATATTTTCGTGCTTACCTCAGATACGCTTTGAGCTGCGGTCTCGTGTCGATCACTCAGCCGCCTGATCCGCCGATCTCTCACGGGCGTACAGCCCTTGTTGTCATCATCAACTCGCAGACCATTCGGCCCCATCATGATAGGACATCCGAGTCTCGGCGTGAGGCATGTGCATGAATGAGCCAATCCCCCGGACTTCGCGGCCTTGAAGGGTCCAAGCCGAACTGCGAGGCGGTATAATGGCCTCATCGAGCACATAGAGGGAGGCCGCAGTGCCTACATGGGACATCTGACGACGTCATTTCGCTCACCCTCTACCAAATGCTTCGTGTACGCGCTCGGATTACAACACGAGCAATTACTGAGGCACGCTGATGAGCGTCAGGTATGTACACTAGGCAGCCGTGGTGAGGCATGGCAGTCAGCGTGAGAAGCATAAGTATGGGCTGACTCTCACCTCGATGGTCTGTCTGTTCATCACAGCAATTTGCAGCAAATCAAGAGAAGACATCTACACAAGTCCTCGCCACCAGCCACCCGCTCACCATCAACTCAACAGCATCCAACATAACACAGACCACCCACCACAATGGCTCAAGGCTTCCCCAACAGCTTCAACGTCGACTCAGGCAACTCCAACAGCCCCTACGCCGCAGAGGCATGGATCGAGCCCTGGCTGCTCAAGCACTCCACATTCTACCGCAAGCACCTCACTCGCGATGGCCGTCAAGAGTCGAAGTCGTCCCGTCGTGCCAGCATTATTGATGCAGAGATTCAATCGAGAAAGAACTCGGTAGCTGCTACGGAGAGGAACGATAGTGAGGACAGCACTGCCGCTGGTGCTGTGCCCGAGGAGTAGATCTATCCGCTACGTCCAGGAAGGAGGGAGTGTACAAACATAGCGTGTCGGCCCATCTGTGGCTTCAGTCTACTTGTCAACGCCAATGGAACGTGTTATCAGACCATCACAGTGATCTGAATCCTATGTCCGCATTGTAATACGTCCAACTCTCGTGAACTCCTGTGTGCACCTTAATACATGAGGTGAGCCAATGGCGACCACTGCATTTATATTTGTGAGGCACGCGCAACACTTCGACAATTGTCTGGCGCGGAAGCGAGTCATCATTCCAGTATCGTGCATGCAGCGAGTATTGTAGCTGCTATCTGTAACAACTGCCGCGATCTATTTACACTTGTTCTGTACGGCTCAAAGTCGCAAGCGATCTGCACTGATTTGAACCGGTTGACAAAGCAGACTGGAACTTTCGAAAGACCGGTTGACAATGAGCGCAGTGAGAACGATTGGATTGGCTCTGAGGCCGCCCAAAAAAGCTTAGCTTAACTGAAGAGAACCACAACCTCAAAGTCAACAAACGCGTTTTCACCTTGCCACCATCGTGGACACCACACCCATCACACAAAAATCATTTCCACATCCGCGGACAGACGTCTGTAGCACTAGACTCGCCTTTTAATGTCATATATGCAGTACCCTACGCGATACGAGCGTTTGACGCGCGAGATGCGGGGAAGTGTGCGCGGATTGGATGGTATGGGGTGAGCCATCGAACAAGCAGATGCTCCCCAGACAGGGGACTGGGATCGACATCCATGCATCGCGGCACCCCGTCTACGATGCAAGTAGGCTTCTAGAAGGTAGGAAGCTCGATCTGCGCTGTGAAGACGCGAGAAGACTGGTAGTTGCCAGCACTCCCTGCAGACCTGGGACGCGGCAGTTTCAAGACAGACGACATTCTCGCAAGCCATGTCAGACGTTTCCGTGTCCTCGACGGCGCTATTGACTGGCATGAACTACTACTTAGGCCGCGTCGATTACACTTTTGCGGGGTTGCTGAACCAACATGCCTTCGGGATGTGATGTCCCGCCCAATGAAGAGACATTCTGGCTTATTGTGCTCATAACCCGCCAAATGGTCGACCTCGGATCTGTTATTGTTGTGGCCTTTCCTTTGTACCGGTGCGGAGTTGTTGCGAGGAATATAGGGCGGACTCTGTCGCTCAAGCTCGGAGTGCCTCGTCTCGACAGAGTCTCTCCCTCTGGCCAACTAACCTGAACATCAGTACAGCACAATGGCTGACATCAAGGAACCCGAGAGGATTATCAAGACGGATCTGTGGCAGTTTGGTGCTCGACAGCGAACAGACGGACCGTATGCTGACAACCTGGACATAGATGTCTTAATCGTCGGCGCAGGCTTTGGTGGCGCATATGTATTATACGAGATGCGTAAGGCCGGGTACTCGACAGTTCTGTACGATGCAGGAACGAGCTTCGGCGGTACGTGGCGTTGGAACGTCTACCCCGGCGCTCGTGTTGACAGCCCCGTTCCGATTTACGAGCTGGCCATTCCGGAGGTGTACAACACTTGGCACTGGACCACTAAGTGAGTTCTGACAGCTTGGCGGCGAGCACATCTGACTGACGCGAACAAAGCTACCCTGATTGGCGCGAACTGCAGGCCTACTTTGACCACGTCGACAAGACTCTCGAGCTGAGCAAAGACTGCGCCTTCAAGTCGGTCGTCACGAGCGCGGAATTCGATGAGTCCGACGGCAAATGGAATGTTGTGACGGCGGATGGCCGTAAAGCCAAAGCTCGTTTCCTCGTCGTTGCGGCGGGCTTCGCAGCAAAACGATACATTCCGGGTTTCGAGTCCATGGACAAGTTCAGAGGCACTATGTGTCACTCTTCCTTCTGGCCCAACGAAGGTATTGACTACAAAGGGAAGCGCGTGGCTGTGATTGGAACCGGCGCAAGCGGTGTACAGATGATTCAGGCGATGGGTCCGGAAGCTACGCAGCTCGATGTATACCAACGGACACCAAATCTTGCGCTGCCGATGGGCAAGCGCGACTTGACCAAGGAAGAGCAGGATGCCCTGAAGCCTTACTACCCGGAGATCCTGGCATACAGAGAGAGGTGTTTCGCTGGTTTCCACTATGATCTGTGTGAGCGGAACACGTTTGACGACACGCCAGAAGAGCGCCAAGCTCACTTTGACAAGCTTTGGAAGCAGGCTGGCTTCGCGCTTTGGCTTGGCGGGTACAAAGATTGTAAGTTTGACACCACTGGAGTCCGCCTCGAATGAATGAAGCTAACATCAGCCAAATAGACCTCTTCGACGACAAAGCCAACGACGAAGCATACAAGTACTGGCGCAAGTGCCAGTCTCCGCGTGTCAAGAACCCTGACAAAGCCCGCATCCTCTTTCCCGAGAAGAAGCCTCATCCTTTCGGCGTGAAACGACCCTGCCTTGAGCAGAGTTACTACGAGGTTCTGGACCGAGACAACGTTGGTCTTATCGACATCAACGAGAAGTCAGGCACGCCTATCGTCGGATTCACCGAGAAGGGCATCAAGACGTCCGATGGCAAGGAGCGGGAATACGACATCATTGCGCTCGCAACCGGCTTCGATGTCGTGACCGGCGGCATGACTTCCATGGGCCTGAAGAGCATCCATGGTACCCTCCTCAAGGATGAGTGGAAAGAAGGCGCGCAGACCTACCTCGGAACCACCATCAGCGGCTACCCCAATATGTTCCACCTGTACGGTCCCCACGGCCCAACTCTCCTCGCCAACGGTCCATCAGCCGTCGAAATTCAGGGCCGCTGGATCCGAGACGCAATCAACTTTGCGACGAGGCAGAAGCTGAAGTACATTAATCCCAGCAAAGAGGCTAGTGACGAGTGGAAGAAGAGGATCAATGACCTGGGGAACTTGACGCTGTTCCCCACGACGAGGTCAACATACATGGGCGGCACAGTCCCGGGCAAGAAGAACGAGATGACTTGCTATGCGGGTGGGGTGAATGCATATAAGGATGAGATCAGGGGCAAGTTGACGGACTGGGTGGGCTTTGAGGTTGTTGCGAATTGAGGCTCATCTGTTTGTCAGTGCTTTACGCAAGTGGTGTGGCACATCGCCGAGGGCCAATACTTTTCATGCTCCAGGGCGGCCTCCGCGACCGTAGTCAATAATTTTCGCGAAAATCCTGCGCCATGACCCAGCGGTCTCAAGCCAAGCTGTCTCGTCAAGCGTCATCCTCCGAGCCCTCCGAGCTATTCCATGTATAACTCAGTGCCATATGTACTACAAAAACCTGCACTTTGAATGGAGCACTTACCCAACCTCGAATGATGCTGCCCATCGCGGCCTAGCGTCCCCGCGGCAAATTCGGCACTCGGGCGCGCCAAGCCAGTGATGCCAAATCCGACCACGATATCATCAACACGCATTCTTTAGAGCCTCGCCTTCTTAGCTACGCGTGCTGCCTTGAGTAATGTTTCGATATATCGAGTAACATGATCCGACCTAACGCAGGAACCCGCCTGCCACTCTTCCAAGCCCTTCCGCTCGGTCACGTAGGTGGGTGCCTGACGCTGGGAAAATGTTTGTGATGCATATATTGATGATTGCGCCTGCCTTCGAAAGGATGCTCGTCGGTGTTGAGCTACGGCAAGTGCGACTCAGGCTTGTAGCCTCCAATCATCTCCTCTCCTCACCTGTTCACCCTACCCATCACCTACATACACCATACAAGTCATCATAGCTGCGTATCGTTTGCGTACAGGTCTTACATCGTTGCCGGAGGAATTCACGCGTTCCATTGCTTTTGCCCAGTTCTATTTCGTTGGAGTCACTGATTACCAACATGGGCTGTTCTCAAACATACCGCATCATTACCGTCTGCGTATCCAGCGCCTGGACGGTTCTAGCACATGGAGAGGACGAGTCCCATTCTCACATCACCGAGATCAGCGAGATTCCAGAAGCAAGCGACACCTACTTCCGGGTGCCGACGGCATCGGGCATTCTGTACGGTCATGTCGGGCTGATGCTGCTTGCCTGGGTAGGCTGCTACCCGATCTTCCTGACATTGGATGTCGCACGCTCGAAGTACGCCTATTCGGCCCAAATACTCTTCCTGGTACTCAACGCGATCGGAACAGTCTTTGGCCTCGCGTACAAGAGCAAGACACCCGATCTGTATCCCGGCAGCGTTCATGGCACAATCAGCTGGTTGATGACAGCAGCCGCAGTCGCACAGCTCCTCCCAAGACTGCTGCGGAGCTACCTGGACCACAAGTCTACAGGGACCGACCCAGCGTTGCTACAGCGTGAGGCACAATCACTCATGTACGCACCGGTGCCCGAAGGTACGTCGACGATGATGCATGGGAAGGGGAGACTGCTGGCTCTCACCGCTCGGTGTCTCCGCCTACTTCAGAGGCAGGCCGCAATACGAATAGGTTGCCTCACATATATCGAATCTTTTGCGAAGCATTGCGGTTCGAGCCTAGCAAGCGCTACACAGAGAGCAGCTCATGGACGGCGGGTAGTGTCAGGACCACGTGAAAATGACTATGGCACATATCCTGCAGAAGTTGTCTGCAATAATCAGCGCGCTCTTGGTCGTCCTGACCTTTGTGAATATCTGCAGCGGATTGGTGACCATGGCCGGGATCTTCGTAAGCGCAGAATCCTGTCCATCTCCACGAGCAACGCTGACAATATTTAGCACGGCATAGAAATCTTCAACGGCTTAGCGCATTTCATCAAGGGCGGTATCTTCTTCGGGTTCGGCAGCTTGACCTTGTGGTACTGGATGCGCAGCTATCTACGCATGGAGTCGGATTCAAGTACGAAGTACATGCCAGACCAGAACCACCAGCCGAGATCAAGTCGAGGTTTCACGCTCGAAAGGCTGGAATGTTCGCTCATCCTCATCTACGGTGTCACAAACGTCTTCCTTGAACATCTGTCCGGCTGGGGCAAGGCATGGACGGCGCAGGATCTCGAGCACGTCGCAATTTCGGTTTTGTTCATTGGCGGTGGATTGGTGAGTGACGCGGACCGCTCCGACAATACCTCAGACAACATGCTAACGACCGAACAGTGCGGTCTGATGATCGAATATCAAGGATACGGAAAAGTCACTAGACACGAGCCAAACACGCCCGATGCATCCTATCCCACCGCCGAAAAGCACACTACAACGACGACGATCTCAATCAACCCGATCAACCCGCTGATCATCTTCCTCTTGGGCAAGATACTGGCTGGTCACGGTCAAGACACCGGCCAGTCCACAATGATGCATTCATGGGTTGGAAATCTTCTCGCAGGAGCCGCCGCGGCACGAATCCTCACATACCTCCTGATGTACTTGGCGCCGCCCTCGTCAAGCTCATCTGCCCGAGCGCCATCGGAATCAGTCACGTCGTTTTGTCTGATGACGGCGGGCCTCATGCTCATGGCGAGTAACTCGGATACAGTTGACGCAATGATCCGATACAAAGTCAACGCAATGATGGTCGCTACGATGGCGATGAGCACGACTGCAGCCTCGATGGCATGGTTCATGGCGCTTTTCGCGGTGGGACAGTGGGCTCGAGGGACAAAGGCACGGAGTAGGTCGGGTGTCGGCGTCCAGTAATTGTTGTGGTGTTGGGTAACCTATGGGTCGGTCAAATTGGTTTGTGCATCACAGGTCGCTATCGTTATGACTGAGCGCATCGTTATACCCCATCTGTACTGCGTCCAACATCGATTTCAGATGTCGCGTACTTAGGTAGTCAGGTCCAAGACTTCAAAATGCGAGCCTTGACACTTCTCTCGCCTTATAAAGCGTAATTCACCAATCGATGAGAACCTCCAAGACAGTGAGTAAGCCGCCAGTGCTTGACGTATTTTCGCAGCACACAAAAGTATGAAACAGCCTGCCTTTCAGGCGAACAGGCCGCCTGTAACCTCGATATAAGCACTCTTCGGATCGATCGCATGCCCAATGACGAATGCCGATCCCAGCCGCCGCTTGGCGGCAGCCTATCATGACCCCTGGAGCTTGTGCGTACTTTTTCGCTAGGCGCTACTTATAGATTTGTCGAAGATACGCTTTAGGATTGAGTATACATTGGAATTCTTCAAGTGGAGGAACCAACAGTCGTTTCCGCATACATTGATGGTCGGCGTAGCAGGAAAGTCCAACGCATGCAAGACATGCAAGAAACGGAAAGTCAAGGTGAGTTCTGGACGTCGATTCGCGTTGCACCAAATCTGGGGTTTCGACCGAAAGACGTCAATGGCGACTGGATACTGATATATATGGCAGTGTGACGGACAGAAACCAGTCTGTGAGCGATGTACAAAAGGCGGCCATGTCTGCTACGGCTACGACCGGAAAGTCCAGTTCCGGCATCTCAGTGCCCTGGATCATGATAACCTCTTGGCTCGTAGCCAGCCGCAGACTTCGTTGACAGAGCTGTCGCGGTTGCTCTATGGACCGTTCGCCCCGCTGGAAAGCACAGGCGGTGATGGTAGACATTTGCCTGCGGAAGGTGTAGAGAGCGTAGACCCAATCGGACTTACAGGATCACGATCGCTGGCCAGTTTCCCATTCAGACAGGATCCCGACAAAACCACACCGCCAGGAGAAACAGTCTCATGGATCCAAGCAGTGGCCTCATGGCGAGGCAAATACGCCTCCCTGAACCTAGCAATGTCCGCCCTCAGCATGATCTGCCTGAGCCGAACAGGCGGCGACGAGCGCCATCAGAGCGAAGGCGCCATCAAGTACGGCCAGGTCCTGAGAGATCTGCAGGATACTTTGGCCATTGACAGCCTGGCGCTAGAGGAGCAGACGCTGGCAAGCTGCATGACGCTGACCATCTTTGAGGTCATGGCACCGTCAGGAGGCGATGTGTCTGGCTGGTCGAGGCATGTCCAGGGGATTTCGAGGCTCTTTGAGCTTCGAGGTCCAGAGCTGCATGTTTCTGGTTTGGCGCATCGGTTGTTTCTTGGGTTTCGCTCTTCTGCTGTGAGGATCTTCAATTTGCACCCGTTCATGTATGTATGACCAGCAGCTGATACTATGCCGATAGGCCATCCACGCGCTGGCTCTGCGCAAGCCAACGTACCTCGCGGACCCGGATTGGCTGGTGATCCCGTTCACCGTGGAGCCCAAGACGAACTTTCATGCCCTGATCGACATAATGCTACAGATACCGGCATTCGTCGACCAAACAGATCGACTGGATTGGGCCTTACAATCAGAGATATCCGCACTGACACGACCGGAGCTTCTGGTGCGAGGCATGGAACTGCACCAACAGCTCAAAGACTGGTACGGCAGCCTTGGCAGCAAGTCCAAGGACCCCTTCTACGTCGAGAAGAGGTCTTCTCTCGCAGTGCCGAACCGAATACCTGCTAGCCTCGAGTCTGTCTTCCCAGTTTTTCTGCACTTCCAATCCTTCGAAGTCGCACGGATGCATCTCTTCTACTGGACAGCACTGGTCACGGTCAGCTACAACATCCTCAAGGTAGCTGGCTCGGATTTAGACGTGAGAAAGTGCTCAGACGGCACCATGCTGCCGGAAGCTGACGTAGCTGCGCTCCGTAAGGAAGCTCTGGACATCGCAATACTTATCGCACGGTCAATGGAGTTCCTCCTTTCGGAAGAACGGTTTCTGCTCTCGGAAGAAATGCATATTCGTGGAGTCTTGAATACGTTGTATCCTTTGCACACTGCGATACACGTTTTCTCGAGTTTGCAGGAAGCGGAGAAGGAGGCGTGGTGTCGGGCTGTCTTCGATGGGCTTGCTCAGCGGGGCTATCCGTTTGGACAGATACTGAGTCGTGCGGAATGGGATGATATGCCTGCTTTGCTGGCTGGAAAGGCGCCCGCTTGGGAGGTATGACTGCCACGTCCACCAGGGTCTTCGGGGCAGAGGCGTTGACGACCCACGATCGGGTTTGGTGGATTGTGTCGTGGAATGGGCACAAGGCTTGTCTGATTTTCAATATTGCTTGAACGGCTGATACTCAAACTGACCACGATCATCGCCATTGCCCGCCATCGTGTCGTGAAGGTTCTGAACCGACTTGACACTACTCTCTGCCTATGAAAAGTCCGGAATAGCGCCCGCCTCGAGCACAAATTACACACCAACATTCACCAGGTATACTGCTTCGATCCCTCGCAGTGGTGACCTGCAAGCTGTGTGGAGTACCCCTGCGTTAGCATGTTGGCGACACCCATCGATGTTCTTGTATTGGTGGGACAATTCCAGGACCTTCCGCCGAAAGAACAAGCTCATGCGACGAAGCAAAATCAGACGTTGGCCGATCGATGTTGGCCGAAAGAACGATAAAAGACAGAGTAGCCTTCCTGCCATCTGTTACAGCTTCGATCCTCCACGTGCTCATCCACCTCGATCTGGACTACTGCAGGGGTGGCAATGCAGAGTGCAAGACTGTCAAAGCCTGGCAAGCAGCAGCAGTAGTCGCGATTCGTGAGCCGATATCTGGGAACAATGGGCACCAACGAGTGGTCAACTCCTGAGATCTCGTGTTGGGCAAAGCCACAGCAGCGGCAAGCACGAGCTGTATGCGCTGTCAAACATGTCAAACAGTCAAGCCTGCTTAGCCCGTTTCTTGCTTCGACGATGCTTTCTGGTGGCGTGACGATGCAGTGGTACGCACGGCAACACGAAGCGGCATCGGCTCTGGTCCTCGCCGATGACGCTTGCTAACAGCGGAAGCAAACCATTTGGACTGCGCAGTACAATGATTACGGCGACTACTCGGGCGGCCTTATATGGCAGCAGCAGCAGCAGCAGCAGCAGCAGCAGCAGATACAGACCTGCGAAGGAGCCGGTCGCAATGTGTAAAGTGTCGTAGAGAAGTCAACGTAGCTGCACACGTGCATGCACGTACAGTACTCCGTACCTGCAGCTTAGCGAACGACATTGTGCCTAGCTCTGTCCCAGATACGAGATGTCACCCTATAATCATCCTCAACACAATAATGTTCAGATTGTCCTTCATTCGTCGTTGCACAAAAAGATTCTAGCCTCGGCTTTTAGTGCCAGAGATCGAGGCGTGGAGATCAAGCGTTCAGGGCCAGACCGCCCGCCACGAGCCATCGTGGAGTCAACACAATTACACCTCGAGAATGACAGGCGATCTGGAGCGACAATCTAGAATCGCCCGAAGCTTGAAAGAGTGTTTTTTAACCTTGAACAGCGGAGAAGGCAAGTGAAATCAGATAAGCCAACGAGATCCTGACAGCGATAACGACATCTGGAAATCGCTTGAAGTCGCAGATTTTGATGAGGAATCAGGGGTGGATTTGAAGCCGCCGTCGGATGCCACTCTGCTGCATCCCCGGAGTGCCGAGGCTTGGGAGTTCGAGCTAAGCAGATTTACGCGAGGATGATTTTCAGCATGGAGCCGTGGTTCGTCGATCAGGCCACGACAGACATTCCAATATTCGCGCGGCAAGGTGAGAAGTCAGCACGGAGGGCTCTGCGACTGTGTGCTGCCGCACGACCACGACAACAGTCAGGAATGGCAAACGTATGGCTGTTTCAATGCGTCATCTTCGGCCCTTGCGAGTCCTAAATGCTGTACTGTCTTCCAAACATCCTCGCTATCATCAGATCGATCAGTGATTATACCTGTTCATAGCCTGTGTTCTAGATGACTGTGATGTACAAGATGATTTCGTGAGCTCAGTGTCAAGCAGAAGAGCTCTCCACAGACTCGTTCCTCCGAGAGGTCGAGCCTTCGCCGCCGTCATACTCCACCCTCCATTCCATGTTCTTCGTTATTATCATCCTTTTGCTGTCGTGACTGTCAAGACTCTGCCGCGAATGCGAGACGTGACTTGCGTGTGAGACCATGTCTGGGCGTAATCGTGCCTCAGAATCAGAATAGTCAGATTGGGCACTCTTCTGTTTTCGATGACCAGCTGGCCCTCGTCGCCCTCCGCTCCTGCTCGAGTCGCTGTGCTTATTGCTGTTCTTGCTGTTTGAGACTTTGCTGAGATCATAGCCCTCCGGCATGGTCCTACCTCGGCTGCCCTGATAACGTGTATCGGCCAAGTAAGGTCGAGTGAATGGCCGGAGGAATGGTCCTAAACATGCAGCAGCCGTCGCAAGTAAACTGTATGCCACCTCTGCTTGCGTCCAAATTGCGGCGCTATAGCCAACCAATGTCGGATCATCAGAATATACCTCGTCGTGGAGGTAGTGCAGCCGTATGGCAGCTATAGCGATGACAGGAAGCCGCACCGCGAATGCCATGACGACGGTTGCTTTCAGCTTCAGCGCCATCTTGAGACCTGCAACGAGGTAGATTGATAGTCCAAAGATAGCAACCTCGGTAGCGATGTCCACTGCGGCGACATAGGCCCAGCGGGAGAAGAGACCACTACACTGTCCTTCCAAGTCTGTGAAAGAGCCGGCCGGCGTGCATGCGATCGTGATGACCAAAATCGAGCTAAACGCCCATGCGATGGATGCTCCGATGTTGACCCATGCTACAAGTTTGTGCATCTTGACAGCGGTGAGGCGCATAATCAGTGCTATCACGGAGCATTTCGACAAGCATAGAGCGATCAGGTATAGGAGACTGCTTGCATAGTCGGCCTGGGGATCATTAGTAAGGGCAGCGGCAAGAGCGACGATATCGCGCACCTTCCCAACGCGGGCAATAGCAGCTGCGTCCAAGTCACTTCCTGTTCGACCAAAACCTTCTCGAACTTCTACGAAGACAGCTGTCGATTGGGCCACACCGATTGCCTGTCACAAGATGTCAGAACCATCGCATCAACGGCTTTGTACCAGGAATGCACTCACCGTCGCCACTGTAAGAGTGGTATCATCGTACGACCATGGCCCGCTGACCTTTAGCCGCACATACACTCTCGTTAGGAATGCGACCAGAACGAAGGAAAGGGTGACAGTAGCAACTACCACAACTGCTCCCCGCTTGTCTGTATCGGATATGATCAGCGGTGGGCTCGATGCCATTCTGGGAACCTCGTGGGCTATAATGTGAGTGACTGGAACCTCATTGAGCGCCGACGTCGTGTACTGGCAACAGAAATGAGGAAAAAGATACCAACGGCGAGGTCAACGGCACATGTGAGGTTTATGGATTATTAAAGCCAGCCGCATCCTCAGGCTCAGCTGAGCACCACTCACGAGACACTCCGGCACCCATTGAAATGAGGATGGCGCTCGCAGAGTTCCAAGGCCCGACTCTTGCAACTCTGACATGGTTAACACGAGGTTCTCGAGCTGAACTTGCCAAGGGTCTTTGAGTGGCTGATTTGCAGAAGATAAAGAGGTGAAGAAAAGGTGCAACTCGCCGGCACTAGCACCTGTTCCCCACCATTCCACCCCCCTGCAAAGGAAAACTCCATCTGTAAGCGACTGCTGATTTGGCGAACCCAGGCGGCGTCGGGCCTAAGGGAGCCCTTTTCCTAGCGCCCTCTTCTTTCGTTGTGGCCACCATGCATTTGCTCTTTTGGTGGGATCAATGCCGAGGAGTTCTGCAGCTAGCGACTCAGCTAGAGGAACAAGAGTTGCAGTTCCCCGGCAATTATGGACTCGAGGTAGATCGCTTCAAAGAACCTCCGACCTCATCACCTCCTATCATGTCCTCACGATCAAGACAAGGATTCGCTAGATGGCACATCAAATACGAAGGTACACCAGTCGCATCCCAGCCGAAAAGTTCTGAGTTGCAGCATTGACACGTGGAGGCGCCCGTCAGCCAGACCCTATCTGTCACCCTTCATCATTCTTGTCAAATCTTGGTCGCTTTAACTCTGGAGGGCTTTGTCCGCTCTTTCATTCACGTGTACTGTCCTTTCCTCGTACCGTTGAGCGGTTTGGCGCGTTGTTTGTACCACCAAGATGTCTGCACAGCGCGATGTGAGCAGCTCGCCAGACTCTTCACCACCCTCGGAGCTGCATCAACGGAAGGGGATTTCGCACCAATTCGACGTTGAGGATGGCGATGATACTGCATATGCTGGCCTTCCAGGCCACACAAGCAACGATGCGCGGGACATGGGTCGAATGGGCAAGACTCAGGAGCTGAGAGTGCGTTTCTGGCTACGCAGGAAGACTTCTGCTAACCAGTCGATAGCGAGACTTCCGACCGCTGTCTGCATTGGCGTTCACTGTCATTCTGCAGGGTACATGGGAAGTTCTGCTTGTGTGAGTGAATTCGTTCCGCCCTCGCCAGCCCATTGACCTTCGACAGGGCTACAACTCAAGGCATGGTCGACGGAGGTATTGCTGGTCTGTTTTGGTCCTACGTCTGGACATGGCTCGGGTTCAGCACAGTGATGGCTTCTCTTGCTGAGATGGCTCGATGGCGCCGACTGCTGGAGGACAATAGTGAGTGTCATGTTTCTGCCACGATTTTGGCTCGTGCTGATGACTCGCAGCCACTGGGTCTCGGAGTTTGCGCCTATCAGATACCAGAAAATCTTGAGTTATGTCACAGGTAAGGATAGTGCCTGCTTCAAGTAGGGAACGAGGAGCTGACCAACGGATCAGGCTGGATGGCGACGTTGTCCTGGCAAGCGGGTACTGCGTCCGGGCCGTTCCTCGTCGGCACGCTTATCCAAGCCCTGATCCAGGTCAACGACGCTGACTACGTCTGGGAGAATTGGCACGGGACCTTACTTGTCATCGGCATCACCCTCCTCGTCTTCGCCTCGAATGTCTGGGGTGCACGCGCAATGCCCATGGCACAGAACCTCATGCTGGTAGTGCACGTCTTTGGCTTCATCAGCATTATTGTCGTGTTCTGGGTCCTCGCACCTCACAACTCTGCGAAGACGGTCTTCACAGTCTTCACCAACAGTGGAGGTTGGAGTTCGATGGGCTTGTCACTTATGGTGGGACAGATCTCGGCGATTTATGCCTGCATCTGTGAGTCTCCTGTGCTACATGACACAACGATCGTGCTAATTCGGATGACAGGCTCCGACGCCGCGGCTCATCTGGCCGAAGAGATCAAAGACGCCGGCGTGACGGTTCCACGCGCCATGGCATGGGCTTACATATTGAACGGTGGCCTCGGCTTCGTCTTCCTCATCTCCTTCCTCTTCGCCATCACCGATCTCGATGCTGCTCTCAACGACGAGACGGGCTATCCTTTCCTCACAGTCTTTGCGGCTGCTGTCAATACCGGTGGCGTCAACGGTCTGACTGCCATCGTCACTATCCTCATCTTCGCTGGCACCGTCAGCTTCAACCTTTCGACCAGTCGACAGACATGGGCATTCGCCCGTGACCAGGGCCTGCCATTCAGCAAGTGGATCGCGCACGTCCATCCCGGCCTCAAGGTCCCTGCCAACAGCGTTGCTTTCACATCAGCCATCACGATCCTGCTGTCCCTCATCAATATTGGCTCCGATGTCGCTTTCAACGCGATCATCTCGCTCAATCTGGTGTCCCTCATGTTGACATACATGGTCTCTATCGGCTGCGTACTCTACCGCCGAGTCTATCAGCCCGACCTGCTTCCGCATGCTCGCTGGAGCCTGGGGAAGATGGGCGCCCCGATCAATGCAGCAGGCTTCATCTACAGCACTTACGCGTTCTTTTGGTGCTTCTGGCCTAATGCGACACCTGTTACGGCCGAGGACTTCAATTGGGCTGTGGTCATGTTCTTTGCGATTCTGTTCTTCTGTGTGATAGATTGGTTTATTCGGGGCCGGAGGAAGTTTACTGGACCTGTTGTGTTAGTCGATGGTTGGACTGGACCGGCTACGGGATGAGATCGATGCCCTCGGGACCGTCCAATCGGATGGGCTTGTATACGAGCTTCTCGAGCCCCGATCATTGCACATAGTCGTACGTATGCTTGCATTGTTGCTAGATTTGGAGCATTTGCATAGCGCTCAGAAGTACAGCAGGCAATTTTCATCATCAGAGGTACGTCATGGAGGCTTAGCTGGCCACTCCGACGGAACCCGTCTCCGGACTCTTTAGTGTACGAGGTACCGTCGCAAGATGGGTACACATCGAGCGTATGCTGCGCTCCCGACGTAGATGATGTAGGCGTCATGAAATCTAGGCACCCTTGTTGCTGCATCGTCACTGAGAGAGAGGGAAGAAGTGCACTGCCATGGTGGGCTGTATATAAGATGCTCTTGGTCCTCAACAGAACTTGAAGACAGCCTCAGTACTACTCCACAACATCCAAAGAACACCATCCAAAACTCCAAAACCAACACTACAAACACATCCATCAACATGCAGAACGAACGTGGCCAAGGCGTCTCGCACGCAGCGGACTCAAAGCTTCCCGAGACAGTCCAGTCAAAGGTTCCTGCAAGTGTCGAGCACAACGTCCCAGACTCTGTCCACGACACTGGCGCCAACCCACAAACCGGCAAGGTGTCGCACGCCACCGGAAAGTCCATCGTCCCACAGGCTCTGCAGGAGGGTCTGCCTGAGAAGGTATGCATCGCTGAATCTCTCTGGGAGGATGCACATGCTAACAACAACAGGTCGAGAAGGTCGTCCCCAACAAGATCCATGATACCAAGGGCGCCACCTTCTCTGACGGATCTGTTGGGAAGTAGATAGAACCATCCGATGTCACGGAATGTATTAGGAGGGCTGCGATGATGTTAATGGCTATACCTGGTCGCTATTCAGACCTAGGGGTTCTATAGCAAATCTATCGCTCCTCTATGTTCCGATCTATTCTTCTGCCTCCAACACGATGTGATTGGCCGTACTCTCAACGCGGACCTGGTTGTGACCACCATGAGTCGCATGGTACGAAACTGTATTTCTTTGCGGAGCTTTCCACAGAGCTCGTCCACTTGGCTTCACAAGCCATCGGTCTCGGCTGGCTGGCGTTCCTCATACGGGAGCATCGGCGTCACCTTCTTCACCACCCTCGCAGGACTTCCCATCACTACCGACCAGCTCGGGACATCCCTCGTCACTACGCTACTTGCGCCAACAGTGACACCGTCTCCGATCGTCACACCCGGCAGAATGACTGCGTGTCCGCCGATCCAACAGTCCTCCCCAATGGTCACTTCTCGTGCATACTCAACATTGTCTCTCCGGCTCTGCACCTCCGTCTCGTGCGTCGCGGCGAAAATACTGACATTTGGCCCGAATAGCGTCCTCGCGCCAATCGTGACGATCCCGCAGTCCAGAATGCACAGATTGAAGTTCGCGTACACTCGGTCGCCCATGCGAATATTGCAGCCGTAGTCGATGGAGAATGGAGGCTCGATGAAGCAATCGGAGCCCACTGATCCGAGGATCTGTTTCAATTGGGCGTCTCGGTGTGTGGCGAGCGTCTCGAATGTTGCGGATGGGTCGTCGTGAGGAAACCAACTGTTGTAGCGGTGACTCCATGCGCGAGCTTTGAAGCGAGCTGTCTCGAGTGCTGGATCCAGGGAGTTGTAGAGCATTCCAGAGATCATCCGCTCATACTGTTCGCACCATGGGACGTTAAGAAGTGTGCGTGCGATGGCAATCTGGTCCGCATTCTTGGATGTGCTCGCCATACTGGTGGCGACAGCCGAGGCACGAGCGGCGACGAGGCCTGAGCGTTGTTGTTAGGTAGTCGAACCTCGATAACGTCGCGACTCGCGACTGCGATGATGTCAAGCCCGAATATTTTGCCGACTTGTGGGATGCCCACGTTTCTCTGGGCGGAGTTGCGCACCCTGCGGGATCTTCTCCGTATTAGATACGGGAATGCTTCGGACCTGTAGATAGCATTGAAAATGCATGTGGCTTTCAATCATTGTCGTCTGTATCCGCCTCTGTCGTCTTTGGGTTCGAAAGACGTCGGCTCCCTTCTTGTGGAAACCTCGAAAGCAATAAGACGAAGAAGCCAACAAAGGCTACTGCCCCGTTGCAGACAAACACCAGGTAGGTCTTTTCGATGCTCGCGAACGCAGCAAAGATCAGACCAAACACGAATGTCGTGAGTAAGCGAGCGAACATCTCGACGATGGCGATAGCGCTGAGGGCATCTGTACGATCTTCTGCTGGGCACATCTGCAGAATGACTCCTTTCGCTGCAGAAGCCGTACCTGCACCAAACGGCAGGACAGCCGCAAGAAGGTACATCTGCCAGCCCTTCTGAATGAATGCTGCACCACAGGTGAGAGCGCCATCGATAAGTATGCTTGCTCTTGTGTAGACAAGATCAAATTCGAAAGTCTCCTGCTCGCCGGATGCTTTCGGCGGCATGACGTCCTCCTGTTCCTCGTCTTGCATTGCATTTGCGAGTTGTGCTTGCTCGGAAGGCGTTGCGGTGCCGGATGTGGTAGTAGACTGAATAGCTGATGCATGTCGCTCGGCTCGAGATTCCATGACGCGTCGACCGAGCTTGATGATGCGAGGGAACGCAAACATCAGAAAGGTTCCGCGAAGAAATGAGTGTGTGGCCACAACGTAGCTATTTCGTGTAGGTCCGAAGCCGAAAATGTCTGTAGCGTACATCTGTAGTAGAGCAGGAAGATATCCTGTGGCCAACACAGCGATAAAAGCTCCGGCTGCTAGGAATACCGCGCCGTACTCGGTACTAACGGATCCTCCAGGTCGAACCCATTTCGACGGCAGAATCGTTCGCAGTGGTCCCAACATCCGGCGTATGCTTGATTCAGACTTGTCCTCCGTGGTAGGTCGCGGCGGAAACCATGGAAGGAAGCAGATGACGAAGACAGTCGACGTCAAGAACACAACCAACGCCACATGGAAAGGCGTGGCCATCTCCCACACGTCAGCCAGAAATCCTCCAATGAGATAGCCGACAGCAGACCCGAACATCATACAACCCTGCAGCTTTCCCAGCGTTCCAGTTCTTTCCTTGTGCTCGGTCACTTCTGTCACGTAGGTGTTAAGAGCCAGCATGTAGCCGTTCGGGCCGCCCATGACAGTGACCATCTGTGAGCACTGCATGAGGACAATGCCTGCGTAGCCACCCGTCGCAACACTGATACTTTGCACGACAAGCCTGACAGCAGGAAAGAAGACCTGGAGCGCCAATGCTGTCTTGACACCGAGCTTTGTGATCGTCCACTTCGTTAGAAAGAGGTTGATGAAGCCGAACAAGGTCGTAGAGGCGCCAAGAAGTGACACGGCACGAGCGGTGCCTGCTTCAATGGTTGGGATCGAGCATCGATCATGTCCTGAGGCTGGTGGCTCAGCATGATGCTGGTAGTAAACCTCGCATGTCATCAATCGCAGGACGTAGATGATAGGGACTTGTGTGATGCCGAATGACAGTGACACCAGAAAGCCGCACAGCAAAACAAAGTGCACTGGCTCAAACCATACTCGCCTTCTCTGAGAGGCGGCATGAAGGCTGTCGCTGCCGAGGAGAGCAGTCGTCTCAGTGGCTTCGGCAGGCGCTTTCGCTGCGCTGTCAGACGTCATAATTAGCAGAAAGACATTGAAGATGGCGACATCGTGATTTCATCTCACTCAAGAAGTGGCTGAAGTGGCAGCGGAGTCCTCAACGCTTACCACTGAAGCACGACATCAGGTGGCGACAAGAACGGCAGGAGCGATGGAGAAATGCGGCAGTCATCGCGGAGAACATCGCAGCTGCGAGGCTGAAGAAGGAAATCGAGAAGGCTGAGATATCGGATCGAACTTGCCGCAGGATTTCAACATTCATCATCCTCCATCTGCACTATCAGCACTATCAGCACCATAGTGCTCCCATCAGGTACGGAGCATGATCACTCATGGATGGTCATCCTCAAGGTGTTGCAGCCGTCTACCCACTCGCTTGGATTGTAAGCTTGCGACGCGCCATTTGATCGTTCAAGCTCATGCAATGGGCTCGAGAGCGTGAGATCTCGAGCTCCGACGACCTCAAATGCTTCAAGCGAGGCCAACATGCCACTTGTTGCGCTTCGCAAGTTAACTGTCTGCCACCGGCGAACGCATCGCCTGCAAGCTATGCTCCGGATTTGTTCGTTGCAACCTCACTATGCACAGATCAGTCGTCTTCCCCGCAGAATTGATCTGCATCACCGGAACTTCTCCGGATCCAGGACCTCTTCGTGCACCCCCACACTTACTCCAGACCTGCTAACGGCTTTGTGGATCAATAGCAATGCCACTGAAGATATTGCCGGTAAGTAGGGTCAACTTCGGCTACGGCGGTGCCAAATTGCCCGTCGGGGACATATCATGAGCATGGTGGACTGCATAAATACTCCTCCGCAAGACGAATCTGGCTCTCTTGTCTGGTCTTGATCCATATTGCTGTATAGGCCTTCACAATGAGCAACGACAAACGTGCTGAGGCGGACACTATAGAGGCCGAAGCCACTGACAATGGCCTCGACCACCTCAAGGATGTCGACCTTCATGACAAAGCTCTGGCCAACCAAGCCCTCGAGGGCGCTACACAGGAACACAACGTGGGAGTATGGAAAGCCTTCAAGCTGCACAAAAGGGCTGCAATCTGGTCGATTCGTGAGTACACGCCTTGCCCGAAGCCAATCTCGACTGACACCGGCAGTGATATCGACCACAGTCATCATGGAAGGCTACGACGTGACCCTCATCGGCTCGTTCTTCGGGTATCCTTCATTTAGAGAGAAATACGGCGAGTATCTCAACGAGGAATCCGGCTATCAGATCTCTGCTCGTTGGCAGCAGAAGTTCAACGCCATCGGCGCCACAGCGAATATCGTCGGCGCTCTGCTCAATGGCTGGGCGACTGCCAGATGGGGCCACCGTAAGGTTCTCATCGCGTCGCTCTTCTGGCTTACCGCTTTCATCTTCGTGACCTTTTTCGCGCCGACAATCGAGGTCATGCTTGTCGGCTCGATCCTGTGCAATGTTCCATGGGGCGTCTTCGCCACAACTGGTCCCGCATATGCTTCCGAAGTCACCCCACTGGCGATTCGTGGCTACCTGACAGCATACGTCAACCTATGTTGGTGTATCGGTCAGTTCATCTCGGCCGGAGTCCTCAAAGGACTCGTCAATAATCCGACAGCCTGGTCATATCGTGTGCCTTTCGCCATCCAATGGGTCTGGCCCATCCCCCTCGCCATCGCCGCCTTCCTCGCCCCAGAATCGCCATGGTACCTGGTCCGTCAAGACCGTCTTGACGCAGCAAAGCGCTCCCTGGAACGACTTTCCCAGCCTGAGCACCATCACGAGATCGACTCCACCGTGGCCATGATGGTGCACACCAACAAGTACGAGATCGCCGAGCGCGAAGGCGTGACCTACTGGGACGCGTTCCGCGGCACAAATCGTCGACGAACCGAGATCGCATGCGTGGGATTCTTGAGCCAGATCACCAATGGTGGCGCGCTGTGCTATTCGGGCGCTTTCTTCTTTCAACAGACTGGGATCTCAGCCAGCGCGGCGTATGGCATCGCTCTCGGCGGCACGGGTATTGCTTTCGTTGGGACGATCATCTCATGGTTCTACATCTATCGCTGGGGGCGGAGGACTATCTGGCTTGTGGGCTTCAGCGCTCTTGTCGTCATTCTATGGACTATTGGCTTTCTGGCTATCCCGAGTCCACAAACGAAAGCGTTGGCTTGGGGCCAGAGTCTGCTTTGTATCGTCTGGCTTGGTGCTTACTCAATGACCGTGGGACCGATCATCTATGTGATCGTGTCTGAAGTTGGCTCCACGAGGCTGCGCACGCAAACTGTTGTACTGGGTAGAAGTACCTACTATGTTGGGAACATCATCTGTGGTGGCTGATTCAACCGGAGTTGCTCTCGCCGGGTTCATGGAATGCGAAGGGGAAGACTGTAGGTGTTTCATGCTGGGAGAGTCTGGGATGACGAGCTGACATTAAGCACAGGCGTTCTTTTGGTCGGTTCTGGCGACGTTCACATTAATTTGGGGATATTTCCGACTCTTCGAGACTAAAGATCGGACGTTTGGTGAGCTGGACTTCATGGTCAGATTCCCTTCAGTCCCAACGCCAATGAAATGACTGCTGATGCAGCGAACAAGTTCACGAACGGTGTCACGGCTCGTCAATCTGCCAAGTATCGTATCAATGAGGAGGTCATGTACTCCGCTGAGGAGACTGTGAAGAGTTGATCGAACTGCCCGAGCATCCAATGGCTTGGATCGTTGGCGTTGGAAGTCAGGGCCATCCTAGGTATGATGGTCCACGTCATCATTCCCGCTACAAGTACAGTACATGAGCACCAAAACACATACACTACTGCTTACAGTTTCGCCTTGATCCCATCCTCGCCCTTCTTCTCAAAATACTCCTTCACCCTATCCCTCGCCACATCCACCACCGCCCGGTCCTCGACCGTCGGCGGAACATTGACCTCCTTGTCGTATTTCCCCTCGACGCCGTTCTCCACCAGCTCCCGCAACACCCGCCGCAGAGTCTTGCCCGAGCGCGTTTTCGGGATCATTCCCCGACCCATGACGATCCCGCCTAGTGTTGCAATATTCCCGATGTTGCTCCGCACAAGGTCGTTGATCTCTTTGAACAGCTTCGAATCCGGCACGGCGCTTAGCTGCTCGCCTCCCTTTGGCGCTGAGGAGGGCTGCACGAACGCGAAGGGGAGGTGGCCCTTCATTGGGTCTGGGATGCCGACACAGCCGCCTCGCCAACGCCCTCGTGCGCCGTGATAGCTTGCTCGATCGCACCGGTGCTGAAGCGATGTGCTGCGACGTTGATGATGTCGTCTGACCGAGACATGACATGGACGTAGCCATCATTATCGATCATGCCTGCGTCGCCTGTATCCATCCATTTCCCGTCGAAGCGTTTGAGGTAGCCTTTGTAGAACCGGCTGTCGTCGTTGAAGAGCGTTGTCAGTCCAGCCGGGCCGAAAGGCAGCTTCAAGACGATGTTGCCCATGCCGCCTTGCTCGACTTCTTTGCCGTCGTCGTCCACGATCCGCACGTCGAATCCCGGTTGTGGCTTGCCAGCTGAGCCGGGCTTGATCTTCAGTGCTTTTGGTGCTGTTGTGGAGTTGGGGTTTTTGCCGATGTCTGGACGGAGAGCGAGGCCAGTCATCGGCGAGCCGGATTCGGATGACCACCAGTGGTCGATGACTTGGGTGTCGGGCGCGGCGTACTTCTCGACGATTTCTTGGAAGCGTGTGACAATCGCGGGCTCGGATCGCTCGCCGGCAAGAAACAATGCTCGCAGCTGCTTCAGCCCTCCACGTTCGCCGATCTCCTTGACCATCTTCAGCTCGGGGTCCTCTTTCCTGATGGCACGCAGCGCTGTAGGTGCCGTGAAGAATGTTGTGACCTTGTGCTCTTCGATCATCCGGAACACCTGACCGGCATCCGGCGTGCCGACTGGCTTGCCCTCAAACAGAATCGTTGTTGCACCAGCCATGAGCGGGGCATAGACGATGAAGCAGTGTCCGACGACCCAACCAATATCTGAGCCAGTGAACATGACATCGCCAGGTCCTTTGACGTCGAAGAGATACTTGACCGCAAGATTGAGCTGCGCTGCATGGCCACCAGCCTCCCGGAAAACGCCCTTCGGCAGACCTGTGGTGCCTGATGTGTAGATCACGTAAATACCATCCGTGCTCTTAACTGGGACTGGACTCGCTCGCAGCCCTCTCAACTTTGCCGATTTTACCAGCCGCTGCCAATTCCTCTGCCCATCCTCTTTGTGCACCGGATCCCACCTCTTCTCGTCCCTCTGCCATATGATGGTCTTCTCAGGCTTATGACTGCTCTTCTCAATCGCACCCTCCACGAACGGCCTGTAGTCAAGCACGCCCTTCGCGCCCTCGATCGCACAACTCGCGGTAAGGATGACTTTCGGCTTCGCGCCATCAATCCTCTGCGCCAGACTCGCCGCCGCAAACCCGCCAAACACAACCGAATGCATCGCACCCAGATGCACCGTCGCCAGCATCCCAAATATTGCCGCAGGTATCATAGGCATGTAGATGAGCACCATATCACCCTTCTTCACGCCCTCTTCCCTCAGCACGCCGGCCAACGTTTCCACCTCTTCCAGCATCTGCTTGTATGTGAACTTTTGCTTCTGCTTCGCCACAGGACTGTCCCATATCATAGCAATATTCTCACCCCGCCCAGCATTGACGTGTCGGTGCAGGCAATTATAGCTCGTCGAGATCTCGCCATCGGGATACCACGACCAGTGAGGGTGTTCTGTGCCATCTTTGAGCTTCTTGGTTTGTGTGCTGAAGACCTTCGAGTAGGGCTTGTGCCAGTGCAGCTGCTTGCCGTGGACGTCCCAGAACTCTTCGGGCTCTGAGAGGGACCAGTTCTGGACCTCGTCTTGGATCGTGTTGTTTGGCGCCATTGGCGGCGACTTCGTGTTGGGGAGGCTAGTCAGGTTTGATGGGCTCGTACAGACGCGTATGGTGGTGAAGACAGCAGGAGTCTATTCGAGCGTGCGGAGAGCCTCGGTCGAGCAGATCTGGTGACGTTGAGCACAGGAGGTGTGACGCGTGGGAATATGTAGGACATGAAGCATCGCTGAAGCTCGCGAGAGCTCTTCCGCCCCTTTCACACGACTCCATCGCGCTCTCGTCGTGAACACCGGGCCAGCGGCGTTGCTGATGTACGCCCAGACTTGCGGAGGGGTTGGGCGAGTCTGCCGGCTTGGATGGGCGTAGCCGATCATCGGCGTAGGCGCAGGTCATCAACCATTGGTCTCCGCTTCCCGAAAAGCCGGGGTAAGCTTTACCGTGAGTGCCGAACGCCGGCTGACGTCAGTGTCGACGCGAGACCGGATGAGCAGCGATGCAGCTATATTTTCTTCAACACAAGAGCAATGGTGACGGGCATGCAACGCCATTCATTGTATTACTCAGCAGTCCGTGGGCTCCAAGCAGTCCGTGTACGCGTCCGTCAGATAAAGTGCTCCCAGACACAGCGGACGTAGACCTGCTCTCCAGACAAGCGGACATGTGTCGCTGCAAATATATTCCAGAGCATCAGCCTTCTGTACGGTATATGTCGGTGAGGCTTGCCTGCAGAAATGTTGACAAGAACGATTTGTGTGGTACACTGAATCTCAGTAATACAGGATCTTCTCCGAATGAGGTGATGTGCCCCTCGCGAGGTGTATGAATGGACTTCATAGGTATTGTACACGTCTATCGATGTTCCGCCTGCAATGCTTGCCCCGAACGCCACGCTCAACCATAAATGCAACGCCTGAGAGGTGACCCCAGCGGTATCAATACACCATTGTCTCCACCAGATCTCTCGAGCTGCGACCCACGGCGATCTTGAATTCACCTGTCGGAAGCACCCAATTCTGCTCGACGACATCCCAATAGCTCAAGTCTTTGCGTGTGAGATCCAACTGTATCGCCTTCTCCTCACCGGCCTTCAGCTCAATCTTCGTGAAATTTCTCAGCGTCCGCTCCGGCATGTCAATCACGGCGCCGTGCGCATCCTTAACATCTGTTGGCAACGACACGTAGACTTGAACCACGTCTTTTCCTTTTCGATCGCCAGTATTCTTGATCTTGAGGTCGACTTGAACGTGGACGTCGAACAGGCTCGGGTTGCCACCTTCGCCACCTCCAGCTTGACCAGGAATCTGCACCTCACTGTAGCCATCCGGATAAGGATACGAGCCCTTTCTGACTTTGGACACATCGGTAATATAAGGATAGATGTACTTCTTGAACCGGCGAATGCCGGCAGGGAAGAGTAAAGTTCCAGCATCAGGTAGACTCAAATCTGTCTTGGGAGGCTCAATGCCAGCAAACCGAGGAGTGGGCAGGCGAGTTTTCGGAAGCACTTCCGTGATCTTCAGGTCGCTGTACTCGAAGCTGGTGTACGAGAGACCGAAGCCGAAAGGGTACTGTGGCTCGATGCCTGCTTTGTCGAAATGGCGATAGTCGATGTAGAGACCTTCCTTGAAATCCGCTTGCGGTATAAGATGGTTCGGGTAGTACAAGATGGGCGCGCTTGGCCCGTAGTCCTTCATGCCTGCACCAATGGTGTATGGCAAGCGACCGGAAGCATCGACATCGCCGAAAAGCACATCGGTGAGCGCATTGCCACTTTCTTGACCAGGAAGGTGCGCATACAGGATTGCTTTGACGCCAGGAAGATTTGCTGTATCGTTGAGAAGGATGGCACCGATGGTGTGGACGACGACGATTGTCGGGCCTCCGCAAGAGCTTGCAACGTCCTTGATCAGCTCGTCTCCATTCTTTTGGAAGTGAAGGTCAGGACGATCGGCCCGAACATTGCTCCAGCGTTTGTGCCCTTCTCCACCATCAGCATTCGCAAACACCAAACAGAGATTCTGCTCGGAAAGGCTGGCTCGTTGCTTCGAGCTGAGAGTGTCCGACAATATAGCCGTCACCTCCACAGCTTTCTGATCGAAGGTAGCGTTGATGGCCGATAACGGGTCGACAAGGTAGGTAAACTCGGTTGCGCCAGATCCCCAACCAACAGCAAGAGTGCCTTGATTGCAGGCTCGATCGTCGCAATAGTTCGGTCCTTTGCCTGGCCCAGCATCGTCGCCGACTAGGGCTACCTTCTTCCGCGTATCATCCTTGCCATGGATACCGCTCAGCTTAGGATCCAGCGGCAGGATCTTGTCGTCGTTCTTGAGAAGGGCAATCGCTTCAGCAGCCACTTCGCGGGCAACCTTCCGGCTCTCTGCGTTCTCAGCTTCGATGAACTTGTTGACGATAACATTCTGTTGTGGCGAGGAGCTGCCATCGTGAGGCTTGCCGTACTCGTTGTCGGTCCAAGAAGAGAAGTTCGGACCATCTGAATCCCACTTGTCCTGGCCGAGCTGATACCAAGCAGCAACAATGCGAAGGGCCATATCATTGACTCGAAACATCGGCACCGAATCGTTGAGGGCAGCAATGGACAGATGCTCGCCCCACAGGGATTTGCCGTCGACCCAATTGATGCCATCGCCCGGCATTGTCATGTCAAGGCCAGCAAGCGCAGATGCAACGCCACTTCGATGCGCAAGCCAGTCCGACTGCACAAAGCCTTGGAAACCCAGCTCGTCTTTCAGAATGCCGTTCATGAGCTTGCTGTTCTGGCAGGCGTAGGAGTTGTTGACCATTTGGTAGGAGCACATGACACTGGCTACACCAGCGCGGACAGACTCGGCGAATGGCCATGAATAGATCTCGTGCATTGTTCGATCGTCGATGTTGGAGGACAAGCCTTCAGGCAGGCCCCATTCGAAGGACTTTCTGTAGTGCTCTTGCTCGTTGCCGACGAAATGCTTTGCAGTCGCCATGACACCTTGTGATTGAATGCCGAGGATGGTCTCATAAGCTGCGACTCCTTGAAGGACAGGATCCGCGCCGAAGCCTTCCCAGTTTCGACCGCCAGCAGGATGTCGACCGAGAGGACCCATGGCCGGACCCAAGAGAACATTGACACCCTTCATCTTTGCTTGCCGAGCATGAGCTTCACCTCTTCGGCGCATGAGATCTCGGTTCCATGTCGCACCCACCGTGATACCTGCAGGGAACGACGTCGCATGATCAGTGAATCGTAGGCCGAGCGGGCCGTCTTGTAGACACAGTCCAGGAAAACCAGCCTCGATCGCAGGTGCAGTGTTGCCGACGCAAAGGCCCATTGCCCATCCGACACCTGTTGTGATATTGACCTTCTCCGCCAGCGTCATCTTGTCTACCATCTCTTTTGCCTTTGCGTAGCTGTCCTTCCATGACTCGATCGTACCGCCGCGAGGTGATGGATACCACGGAGGAGACTGGCCGTCGATGAGCTGCAGTCTATACGCCCAGTATCCGCCGCCGCCGATTGAGCCGACCGTGATGGCTAAGACGAGGACACAGATGGCGATACACGTTTTGCTCAGCGCTCGGCAGCCACAGAACCGTCGCTTCTCTCGTCGGGAAGCGGCTGAGTAGGGTGGTGGGGGTGAGGCAGGCGGGATTTTGGTGAGAGGAATGGCTTGTTCATCGTCGCGGTACGGCCGGTCATCGTATGGCCCGTGGTCGATAGAGTCCGAGTCGTCCTCATCATCTTCGCCCGCACGGGCTGGTACACTTGGGACGAACTCATGTTTCCGACGCGCAGTGGCCGTCCACAGCGGAGATGGTCGGAATAATGCTGCTTCGACTCGGAGACTTGGGACGAGCAGGGACTAGCGCCAGGTACGAGCAGAAGCGTGGCGTTGGAATGGATGTGGGTGCTTCGGCACGAGGCGTGGCTGACACTTGCCAAGCCAAAACTGACTCGTCGACTCCCGACTGCCGAGGAACACCAAAGGTCGTTCCGGGCAAGCGCGGCTAACCGGGCACAAATTCCCAAGCTGCTGCTCCGATTCCAGCTCTCGAGGGGCAACCGAGAGCCTCCAACCTTTACTTGGTAGTGTTCATGCTCCGAGTCGGAAGGTGACCGACGCAAGAAAAAACAACAAATTGATACTTGATCCTCACCATCGTCACTCACCTCCAAGGGCAGTTGACAGATTTCTATACTTTTGCTCTGCCCGCGTTTTGACTCTTCCCCTCTTGCAAACACCAGTCACACCTATTTGCTGCATCGTCGCACCGCGTCTCAGACATGCTCTCCTCGCTCAAGAGAGCTCCCATCCGAAGCCTGTGCTCCTCCTCCGCAGCTCGACCTCTCACCACTGCTGCAGCACGAATTCTGCCTCGACTGTCCGCGCCCTTGTCCCATCCCAGCAGATCCCCCGCCATGTCGCAGACCTTCTCGACCGCAACTCCCAAAGCCTCGGCCGCGCCGCCGCAGTCCTCGCCCCCAGTCTACGACCAGGAGATCCTCGACATCGCCAACTACGTACACAACTACGATATCACCTCCGAGCTGGCTCTCGATACCTCCCGCTATATCCTCCTCGACACCATCGGCTGTGGGTTGGAAGCTCTACGGTTTCCACAATGTACTGCACTGCTCGGGCCGATCGTCGAAGGCACCACCGTGCCCAACGGGACCACAGTTCCCGGTACACCCTACCAGCTCGATCCCGTCAACGGCGCTTTCAATATTGGAGCGATGATAAGATGGCTGGATTACAATGACTGCTGGCTGGCTGCTGAGTGGGGCCATCCCTCAGACAATCTTGGTGCTATTTTGGCCGTGGCAGATTGGATTGCAAGAACAAACCGAGCAGGAGGCAAGCTCGGCAATGGCAAGATCCCCACAATCCGCGATGTCCTCGACGCCATGATCAAGGCCCACGAAATTCAGGGCTGCTTGGCTTTGGAGAACTCCTACAACAAGGTCGGCCTCGATCACGTCGTGCTCGTCAAGGTTGCCTCGACTGCGGTCGTCAGCAAGCTGCTCGGCCTCACCGAAGCCCAGACGCGCGACGCAGTCACACAAGCGTGGTCGATGGTCAATCTCTCCGCACCTACCGCCACTCTCCCAACACCATGTCCCGCAAGTCGTGGGCAGCCGGTGATGCTTGCCAGCGAGCCGTCAACCTCGCGCTAAAGGTCCTCAAGGGCCAGAACGGTGTTCCCAGCGTCCTATCCGCTCCCGTCTGGGGTTTCTATGATGTCCTCTTCAAGGGCAAGAAGTTCGAGTTCCAGCGCCCCTACGGCGAGTACGTCATGGAGAATGTTCTCTTCAAGGTCTCATATCCCGCCGAGTTCCACTCCCAAACCGCCGTCGAGGCTGCGCAAAAGATCTACAAAATCCTCGCCGACATGGGCAAGTCAGCCGCGGACATCAAGGAAGTCACGAACCGCACCCACGAAGCCTGCATTCGTATCATCGACAAGCAGTTCAAGGCTATGGACAACTTCGCCGATCGCGATCACTGCGTGCAGTATATGGTTGCCAATATGCTGATTTTCAACCGCCTCGAAGCTACTGACTACCTCGACGGCGGCGAGGCAGCAACTTCGCCTCTCCTCGAAGACCTTCGCAAGCGCATCAAGTGCGTCGAGGACCCACAGTTCACCACGGACTACCATGATCCCAGCAAGCGAACCATCTCCAATGCTTTGACCGTCACGCTCAACGACGGCACTGTGCTGGACGAAGTCGTCGTCGAGGCACCTCTTGGCCACCGTCTGCGTCGTGATGAGGCCAAGCCAGAGATCATGAAGAAGTTCAAGCGGCATTTGGGCCACCACTACGAGCAGGCGAAGATCGATGAGCTTGTCAACCTCAGCACTGATGCAAGCAAATTGGACTCGACGGAAGTTGACAAGTACATGGACCTGTGGCGGCAAAAGGAGATGAAGTGGTAAGATGTCAAAGAAGGCGCAATGTTGGGAAGATTTTCCAGGAACGAAAATAGATAGCAATCGAAATCAATTGAGCACTTGCGCTGGCCCTAATGGTTGACCTTGATTCCAGGAGCGCTCAACGCTCGGCGAGATTGAGCTGACGGTGGCAGACAACGGACATCCTCTTGACGGTCTCTGCTCTCGACGTGGCCTTTCACCGCTACCTTCGAAGATCGAAGTACTTCTTTGCGTGGGCCCGGACACCGAACTGAACACGTCGCTCGCGCATGCAAGAAGGCACAGCATGTGACTTTGCTGTTTTGCGGTATTTCGGATCCTTGGCCAGCTTCAGCTCAACCCACATAAGGTCTGAGCTGCAAAAATACCAGAACTCTGCCAGGTGTCCTAAGGTACTCACGCAAGCCAACACACATATTTCGCTGCACCATACCGGCTTGTCCTTCCTGCAGCTTCTGCACATCCGAAGACAAGGACTGCGCGACTTTCACCAACATGACGCGACTGGCGCCATACATCGTATACATTGCCTCTCTCATTCTAACCACAACCATAAGCAGTGTCCACGCAGAGGATTGGGGCCCCGGTGGCTTTCGTTATCCGCCCATACCAACACAATACGTCGGCCATCCCACGAACACCTCCATAAAAGCCGTATGGAGCGAGAAGGGAAAAAAGTACCTTACCACATCCGACCGAGCTTCTCGCTGCGCTGCCGTAACCGACGGACTCAAGCCATTTCGAATCATGGCATACGACGCCGGCTCAGACAAACCGTTCTGGATCGAGGGCGTCGTCCTCGAGGATACAGGCTTCCAAGGGGATAGTCTCGAGGTCACGGGCTTCCGACTCGTCAGGAACTACCGTCAACCCACCCAACAATTCCCGCTTACGTTCTACCAACGCAATAACTCGCTCGTGTACTGTTACGAGCACGTGTCGCACATCGCGACCACTGGCACCGACAACAACGACAAGGACGAGATGCGGGTTTTCCTGCATGCCCAGAATGATCTTCCTGAGCAGTCGACAGAGATACATGTGGAGGAGAGGCCGGAGGGCTATGTTGTGCTCTCGACTAACGGCACGGCGCCTGATCGGACAGTCGCTTGTTGGGCTGAGATCTGGAAGCACAAGGCCTACGATCAGCTGTCTCTTGTTGCGGATGTGCCTAAGAATTGCCATTCGATTCGTGCAATGAAGAAGGAGTACATCTAACAGTGGAGGCTCGTTGCGATCATGACCTCCCGAAACAGTATTCTAGCACGAACATCGGCTCTGCCACACTACAGCCTAGCCTGCCCAGCTTCTAATGTTGTCCACGCCTGCCCATCAAAGGGCACATATGCATCCCCTTTAGGCGGCAACCACAGAAACAGATCGTCTTTTCCTTCCGGTGCTTCACTTCCCACCAGCTTCGGATCCACGCCTTCCTTGCGCAGAGGTACCTTATTCTGCTTGTGATTATGAATATGCGTCGACGCCTTCACCACCCTCAGAAACACCGGCACCGCGTACCTCGGCAGACGCTCGCGCGTGTACCTCAACAAGGCATTATAGTCAAAGTCCTTGACGTCGATACCTTGGTCCAAGTTTAACGCCGCGCATCCCGCTCTACCCTCATGATTCGGCACCAACACGCCGTAGACGTTGGCCTCCGCAACACCAGGGTATTTCCCTAAGCATTCACCAACTTCCGCGGTAGAGACATTCTCGCTCTTCCACCGGAAGGTATCCCCCAAACGGTCCAAAAAAAACCACTTCCCATCCGCATCCCGCCTCAACGCATCACCACACCGATACCAGATATCTCCCTTCTTCAACACATCCACCGCGAACTTCTTGTTCGTCGCGCCGTCATTGCGCCAATATCCCTGAAACGCTTCTTTATTCGGCACCGCTACCAAAATCTCCCCTCCTTCTTCGTAGCTCGTGCGTTTCGCGAGGCCGGTATTGGGATTCCGCCAGATATCGCCCGTCTCGTGGTCGATCGCGACGGGGACGTACGTTCCATGCAGGAGGCTGCGGAGGATAAGGCCATGGTGGCCTACACACGCAGCGAGGAACGGACCCTTGTCCCAGACGACGAGCGAGAACATGCCTTCGGTGGAGTTGAAGAATTCGCCTACTTCGGGGATGTTGAAGCGTTCTTGGAATTTATGCCATACGTCTGGACGGAGCCCGTTGCCGTAGCACAGGCGCAAGTTGTGTTTGCGTTCGAGTGGATGGGGAGGAGCGTTGAGCAAGTACCGAGCGGTCTCGCCGACGTAGATGAACATTGTGGCGCCGGAATCGTGGATGTCGTTCCAGAAGCGGGAGACGGAGAATTTGGGCGCGATGGCGAGGCCGAGGCCGCCAAGCAGGGCGACGGAGGAGGTGATTGCGCCCGTGCCGTGGTATAATGGCATGGAGTTGTACCAGGTGTCGCGACCGGGAGTGCCGTCGAAGTAGGGCTTGAGGTGCCCGCCCAGGAGGCGCGTACGTGATTGGGTGAATGCGCAGCCTTTGGGGAGGCCGGTTGTGCCGGAGGTGTAGATTAGGCAGTAGGGGAAGCCGCCTGATGTGCCGGCGCGGTAGCTGTCTTCGGGGCATTGGGTGGACTTGGAGCGGACTAGACTCTTAAGAGACTCGTCGAGGATCGCAATGCGGGTGCCTTTGGCTTCAATGACGGAGCGACTGGAGTCGATGCGACGTTGGCAGCTTGCGTCGGAGTCGACGACGATGAGGGTCGTCTCGCAGACTTCGAGGCAGTGGAGAAGTGCCTTGCCCTCGAGATTGTAATTCAAGAAAGCTGGTGCGGCACCTATGCACAGGGTCGCAAACCAGATCATCATAAATTCGGGCGAGTTGATGAGGTACATGCCGACCAGCTCACCCGGGCGAATGCCCTGTTCCAGCAGCCAGTTGGCATACTGGATGGTCTGTTCGTAGAACTGGCCGTATGTGATCCATTTTCCCTGGAACCATATACAATTCGAATTCCAATGCTTATGGCAAGCCTCGTCGAGGATGTACCAGCAGCTGACTTTGTCTTCCTTGACCACCTTGCTGTAGTCCTTCTCTGCTTTTTTCAAGCGCGTCAACACCTCTAGATCTTTTCGTAGATGGAACTTCGCATCGAGGTATGCCGCCGCTGCCCAAGTTCCGGCCGCAATCGCCGCAGTGGCTGCAGGTCATCAGTAAGAGCCCGAGACGATAAGCGTGCTTATGCATTACTTACCGAGAGCCATGGGTGCTGGTCTATGCAGTTGCGAAGCAGGAGCTGCGATGATTACTTCCAATGTTTCCCGGAAAGGCGTGGACGCTGGCAACGGCAGGAGCGCAGGAACGCAGCAGGGCCGCCCATTGCTGAAATCTCGCCGCAAGGTCTAAACGCTACTATCGACGGATGATGCACCTCGAGCTGCGAACCTCGGCTCGTCTTCGAATCAGCGAATGGCGGGCGACTGCGGGGAGTTTGGGGGACGAAGGGTGAGGGTGAGTCGGGTCGGGGCATGCCCGCTGGAGACCTGACTCGTGCTGTCCTTTGACGGCGGACGAGTCACCAGCGACAGCAACATTCGTCCTACCACATGAGGAGCCAAGATGAGCGATAGCGACGTACTCATCGTCGGCGCCGGCATCTTCGGCACCTCGACCGCCTACCACCTTTCCCTCACGCACCCAGACCCCTCCCGTATCACCGTACTCGATCGCGCTCCAGTTCCGTCTCCGCAGGCGGCCTCCACGGACATCAACAAGATCGTACGAGCCGACTATGGCGTCCTGTTCTTCATGCAGCTTGCCTACGAGGCGCTTGAACAATGGACATCTGTGCCGTGGCTGAAAGAGCATTTCCATCAGACCGGCTGGGTGGCCCTTGATGAGAAAGATAGCGATCTGAGCACGCGAATCCGGTCGAATTTTAAGATCAGTGGACAGCCTGATACCAGCGCCGATATCTCCCTTGACGAGGTGAAGAAGAGTTGGGGTGGAGTGCTATCGGGCATCAACACCGATGGCTTCGACAAGGCCTACACGAACTCGACTGCGGGTTGGGCTGACGCCTCGTCGTCGGTAGACGCCATGATGCAAGAGGCGATGAACAATGGCGTACAATATATGGTAGGTGAAGTCAACGGCCTAGAGGCAGCCGACGGGCGCGTTTCGGTCAAGACAACGGATGGAAGGACGCATACAGCGAAACAAATCGTGCTCGCAACGGGAGCGTGGACACCGTGGCTGATGGCTGGCTTGGAGGCCTCCCTGAGCATACCGGCAGAGCAGAGCATAGACCGCCAGCTCCAAGCCGCCGGCGTCTGCGTCGCAGCGTTCAGACTGACAGATGCAGAAGCGAAGCACTATTCCCAGATGCCCGTACTAATCTACGGCAGTCAAGGTGAAGTCATGCCACCCACGAAAGAGATGCTCTTCAAGTTCACAAATGCCAACACCTTCTACAACTCACAACAGCATCCCTCCGGCAAGACCATCTCCGTGCCGTCCGCCGACCAGCACTCTATCCCTCCAGGCCTGAAGCAAGAGTCAATCGACATCATCCGCTCCCGTATCCCCGAGATCCTCCAGGCATACCCAGAACCTCACGAATGGCGGCTCTGCTGGGATGCCATCTCACCTGACCAGCGTCAACTGATCTGCCGGCACCCGGATGACCGACTGTCAAATCTCTACTTTGCCACGGCTGGCAGCTTTCATTCCTGGAAATTCCTGCCCGTTATTGGAAAGTATGTCGCCAACGTGCTCAACGGGGTGTCCAACGGCCAGGAGAAGGATGCTGCGTGGGAGTGGAAGACGGAGTTCGCAAGCCGAGGCGCACACGAGAAGGTCATGCCCAAGGGTGAGCTGCGGGACCGCTGACCGTCTATTCTTCATGTTGTACGACGACAGAGGCGACCCCCTTAGCACCGGGTCTTGGTTCGCCGTCAATCGACTCCATGTCGGCTTGAGGTATGGCAAGGATGCATGCTGGTTCTAAATGACTACTGTTTGCGGGTCGCTCGAGATTGAAGCCAGTAGTGTGCACAGGGCTTATACACATCGCGAGCCTGTTCTCGAATGTCGCCTCGCCAAAAAGGATCTTAACCCGCTGCTGGCCATGTCAAGCACCGACGCCGAACCACCGCACTCGCGGGCGGCACTTTGTGTGTATGACAAGACACGCGCCATGGGGATCCCCGCTGGGTGGTGCGGTATGGCCGGGACATTGTGTCCAGCGACCTGTGTAGAGTCGAATGCGCAGCGACATCGGTCTTTACCGCCTGGGGTCCACGGTCTGCACTAATCTTCACGCCACATGCTCGACTTGACGCAATCACACCACCTTCTGGACGTTCAATGGATGCGACGATTTCATTGCCGCCTGTGAGCGTCGCAATGCGTTTTTGCATCAGGCGAATGCGACGCTCTTTATTCATCATGCTGACGCCTGGACCTAAATGTGAATTTTTGGTTACCTCAAGGCATAACAGCCACGCGAAAGGGGCGTCAAACAGATATCGATCGAATCCTCCGATTTGTACTGCTTCCCGTATTTAGGAGCATAACGGCCCGCTCGGGTGAAGCCTGAGCTGCGGAAGACCTCGTATTGTCGGGACCCCAATCAGTGCAATGTCTGCCTCAAGCACTCGCACGTCAATCTCGATTCTTATGCTACACGGCTTCAGTCAATCTGGGAAGCTCTTTCAGATCAAAAGCAGACCATTGGTACAAGAGCTCACTGGAAAGCTTGCGCGCTTCTACCAGGTCGCGGAGAAGGACGTCAATTTCGTTTTTCCTGATGGACCGATCCGACTCAACAGCGGAGTCGTCGCAGGCCGCTGGATGGACGACTCGCCGTCAGCTAAGAGTTCAGATCTATTCGCCTGGTCAAAAGAGCCCGACGTCTACGGTACAGTGCAGTATCCCGGTCTAGATCAGTCCTTGAGTATGCTCTTTCGCCTGAGCAGAGATCATGGACCATTCACAGGAGTCATCGGATTCTCATCTGGCGCCACCCTTGCAAGCATGTTTGTGTCATGGTGCGAATCCGATCATATTCCCGGTCGCAGAGAGGCGTTACGCACTATGTGCGAGAGTTGTGTTGGCCATGAGCTGAAAGGTATTCTGGAGACACCGCCGCAAGCGCCACTCGATTTTGCTATCCTCTGCGCCGGCTTCCCTGGGCCGGCTCAGTACTACCGAGGATTCTACGAGCCCGAATTAAGTACTGCCACTGTTCATGTCGTAGGAGACCTGGATTCAATGGTTCCTCCAACAAAAAGCATGGAACTGATCAATCGCTGTCGCGATCCAATGTTCATCAAACACAAGGGCACACATCATCTCCCGCGTGATCGCGTCACCATCAACAGGATAGTCGCGTCGATACATGTGCTGTTGGCAAGCCAGATGGACAGAGCTCGGTCCATGGAACGTACTGAGTGCGCAGTAGTGGACGAGCTTAGGTACCAACAAGGCGACAATTGCTTTCAGCTCTTCAAACAAATGTCAGCCACAACGCTTCCGAAGTCGGAATCCTCAAGCGACTCTGAGAAGGGCTCGGATCGCCTTGACGACGCGGCGAGTTCTGTGGCGAGTGCGTGTGATTCGACAGGATCGTCCCGATCCAGAAGAAGTTATCGGCGGCAAATTGCCAGGAGGTATCAAGTCATTAGAACTCGCTAGCGAGAGATATTAGGCATCACAGGTTTGAGGTTAGACCGCTCCAGCCCTATGCAACACAAGGAGGCGTAGCGAGCAAACCAGGCAGTCCTCACGCGAGAAAGTGGCCAATCATGACTCAGCGAACCTCTACCCTGACCGGCTTGGCCGTTTGTCACACAGCCGTGCCCGTCGGCCTTTCCCTATACCATGTCTCAAGTCTCGTGGACACTCAGCTGCTTTGTAGCCGTCACTCGACAGCGATCGACTTGAATTCCACCTTTCTTGTCGAAGCTGCGCAGCGGTTCCCCCAAGTTGGTAATCGCTTCCGTCTGGAAACGGCCCGGTACCTCGTCGACGTGTACTGAGGCAAGGATTCAACGACATCGAAAAGTCGCATTGGCTATTTCGTATTACTAGTCGGCGTCAGCACTTCGACGCTTTCTGCTGTTGGCGTCTCTGAAGGATCATTTTGGACCCGCTTGTGCTCTACACTGTCTCGAAGGATGGCCGAATGTTATGGCAGTCACTGAACCGGCGGCGAGCTGTGACGCAAGCACTGATCGGTGCGGCCGTTGGGAGATCAGTGGCCAGTGCAATATGAACCTGGTCACACCTCGATGTCACCCTCCGCTGCAGATTGTTGGAAAGTAGTAAGCGCTATCGCCTCAATCGATCACGATACCGCGGCCGTGCCGATCCTACGACTTTTCTCACTCAAGTGGCCATTCTGCGATAAGATATATCTACCAGCCTTCATAGAAAGGGAACGCACACGAGGAGAAGACTTAAACGAAGACCTACGGTGGTGCACTCTTAATACCACCCGCGAAGTAACAGACGCGTCCAACGTACATCTATCATGTCTGCTGTTACGCTATCGGACATTCCGAAGGAAGACAGTCCACAACAAAGAGATGTTTCAGTCAAAACGGATCCTCAGAGTCCACATGACTGGTCAGCGGGGAAGAAAGCGTTCTTCTCGTTAGGCATTGTGTTGTCCAGTTTCACACCGTGAGTCCCCCTACAGGGGTCAAACTGCACCAGAATACTGACAAGCTCAGCTCTTTCGGCAACTCCGCCTACGTCGCCAGTATCTATGGTGTTCAAGATGAATTCCAGGTCAGCATTAACATGTCTTTGCTGGGAATCAGTCTGTATGCTATCGGATTCGCCGTCGGACCTGCACTTGGGTCGACAGCCTCCGAACTTTGGGGCAGAAGCTGGATCACGAAGGGATCTCTACTGCTCTGTCTCATTTTTACGGTCGTCTCGGGTTCAGCCACGACTTTCCGAACGATGATCGTTGGCCGCACGCTGGCTGGTATCACTGGGTCCGCAAGCATCACACCGTTGATCGGCATCTGCAACGACTTATACAGCAAAGAGCAGCATGCGAAGCATGACACACTGGTATCACTGTACGGTATCGCAATGGTTTGGGCCGCCATCCTAGGACCGACGGCCGCAGAGGCCGTCGTGACCAGCCATAACGATGACTGGAGATGGTCGTTCTGGCTGCTGGCGATATTGCTTGGAATTTCGTTCGCCGTGCTCCTTCCTTTGCCCGAGACTTACAAGGCCGAATTGCGCCAGGACTCTGCGAACCGCCTGGACAGACAAGGACAGAGCAATCTGACGATCCTCTTCAAAATTGGCCTTGGGCGCCCACTACGTGTATGTATCCGTCCGCTGCGAAGCATTCTGCTGTGGTCCCAATTGTGCATGAGACTGACCAAGGGATAGATGCTTGCGGTGGAACTAGTAGTGCTTCCATGCGCTTTGGTGGTGGCTGTCTGCCAGACAATCTTCTTTTCGTTGTAAGTCGTCTCCTCGACTCCTTTCCGCTTTCTGTCTGGTGCCAGGCCCTCAAAGATACCGGACGTGAACTAACGAAACACAGGTACGTTGCACTCCCAGTGCAGCTACAGCGCGAGCACGGCTTCTCCAACTATCAGATTGGTTTGTCATTCCTCGCGATCTTCATCGGCAGCGTCATCGGCCTTGTCATACTCAGAGTTTGCGATATCAAACTAGCTCAGCCGAAATTGACTCAACGTCTAACGGAAGTCAACGAAGGAAGACTTGTTAGTCCTAGGGAACGCCTAACTGGGCCGCTGATTGGAGGGATCTTGCAGGTGATTTCGTTGTTTTGGTAAGGCTGTTTGTGCCACACCTTGTGGGATACACATGCTGACGTTGCCTGAAGGCTCGCATGGACATGTCGCAAGGACATTCACTGGGTCGTGCCACTACTCGCCCTCATACCTTACGGAATCTCGTGGGCATTGCTTATGCTAGGCATGCCAGTGTACAAGAACGCCATCTACATGGCACAGTACGGCGCGTCCGCACTCGCACCAGATCTCATACTACGCTATGTCATGTCGTCTTTCTTTCCACTCTTCACGCCACAGATGCTCGATGCAATGACGTTTGAGTGGACGGTGTCCTTCTTCGCCTTCCTGAGCATTCCGATGGCCGTGCTGCCATTGGCTCTCTACCGCTATGGGGACGCGATGCTGCAGCGGTCGGTGTACCTCAAACGTCAAGGCGAGGATATCTGAGGCTTGTCTAAACAGGTCTGGATCCGAGGTCGAGCCTCTGGATGTTGCATCTCTTCACCACGAAGGCGCCGTCGTGCCGCGATACGACCAAAGCATATCGTAGCGGCCCCGGAAATGGAGATCCGAAGGCTAAGGGCAACGATGAATGTCAGAAAACCAGCCACAAGCATCTAAAAGAGTATTCGAATTAACGCATATTAATCTGTATGATAAGATAACGATAGCTGCACAGCAATTGGACCTGCTGTCCCTGCTGCATTCTGCACGTTGCACGGGCACCTTCCATAACAGAGACCCGGAGGGATTTTCCCCTGGCTTACCCCAGAGTTCGCCCGTGGACACGAGAACACGAGCGGCCCCGCCGAAAGTACAGCTACCACGTTTCCGATGACTAACCAATCGTCCCGCCATCTGGTTCTCCTACAAAGCGATTGCTTGGTCTGCTTCTCGCACAGTAATCCTGAGACGACGGTAACGCGATGTTCAACCATACCTTCGTCGCCGTCGGCGGCGACCCGCAACAAAATGAGCTTCAACGGACGATTGCGAGATCTCATGCAGCCCGCGTGGGCTACAGGCATTTCATCGCCAAGTCATCCACCCGCCGTTGTGGGGGGTCACCTCGCCCATCCGGGCACTGCACGGTAGCGGAACGACGCAGAGCCACCTGCACCCGTCGTCGTGAGGAACCATCTTGCCCTCCCGAAGAATGCACAATATCGGAACGACGCGTAAATACATCATCAAGACCGAGAGAGTCAGTTTCTGACGCCGCTGCTGCCACTTGGGCACAGGCAACACGATCGCAGGACTCGACATGGCTGTGGATCAATGCAGCCAGCCTGGATCCCTTCGACATCATCCCAGGCTCGAGTCTTGGTGCTGCACCAGAGGCTCTCGATCTCAGTCAGTTTCACGCCTTGTGCTCATCACGGTGCTTATGATGTTGCAGTGATCAACCTCGTCGCCCCAACGTGTGCTTCGGTGAATCTGTGCTTCGGTGTCGCCAATGTGTATGGTCGTTCGCTCCTGGAGGGCATGGCCCGAACGCGCAGCCTCCTCCACGCCACCGTCGCAACCATGAAACGGGCCCGTGACCTCCTTGCCGGCCACGCAAGTCCCCAGAGAAATGTCTTGCTTCACAAACATGCTGCGATGATACTGTTGCGGGAGTGCATTGCAACTAATCCGTCAGCTGTGTCAGAGGACGATGTCCTTGCGATGCTGTTCCTAGCATTGTTGGAGGTGTCGTTGGGTGACAAACAAGCGTATAAGATACATCGGGCTCAGGTGGATCGGCTCATCTGCGCTGAAGGAGGGCTCCAGTCAAGTGTGGACCTACAGACAACTGTCAAACAGTATGTGCTGACTGTGAGGGAGATGGGCAGCTCTGATATGACATAGGTACACGACTTGGAACTTCCCTCAGTCCTTCCTGCGGCTCAATGATCCGTCATCTCATCCAGTCGATACGACCGATCGAATATGCCGGTCTTTCACTACCCTCCCGATCGGCTTCCAGCATCTCAACCTATCACCCGAGACCACTTCCTTAATCGAGAGAATTGCTGCACGACGTAGATGGAATACACAGAACCCTTCGTACAACGTCAGGGACATACAGACATGGGGGGATCCATGGGGCGTCGGAGCTTACGCTGACTACACAGACGCTTGTCCCGCACTTCGTATGCGCGACGGTCCAGGAGGACCTTCGTTAGAGAAGCTCATCTGCTTATCGTTGATCCGCTATTGCTTAAATCGCGTCGTCTACGTCAGATCACAAGCCTGTATCTTCCATACCCTCAGCCTCGAACTCTTCGAGAAGCTTCCCCTTACGGTGACCCCGCGATGCCCGTACGAACGGCGCGCTCTCCTCTGGGTACACATGATGGTAATCGACAGCTGGGCACAGTGGACTCTGAAGATCTCGGATGAAGCGGCACATCTACTGTACCTGGTCGATCAGATCTTTCCCGAAACGCGTTCATGGACTCCAACGGATTTCGACGGCTTTGGACAAGAGTTTCTTTGGACCGAGAACATCTCACGGATTCTGCAGCACTACTGCGAACAGAGACAGCCGGCGAGGACATGCCGAGTCCAGGTTGCCTTCAGGTGAATTTGGGCGGCACTGGCGGAGTGTCTGGCCGGCCGGTGCAGCTCTTTGCGCGGCCAGACCAGGCTTGCATACTCATCGGGTAGATGAAGACCCTTGCGCTGGCTGCCATGTTGTTTGAAGTTGTCTGCTGCGGTTACGCAACAATTGCGCCGGCAGACAAATTACGAAGAACGACATTTTCAGCCAAAGTGGGGGCTAGCAATATTAAACCTGCACCCTCGATGTCTGGACGTGCGATTCGGAGCAGAAGGCAAGACTGCGTTAGGAACAGGCTGCAGGGAATCTGCATGGCCGTAGGTGAGCAGGTGGCATGCGCTCGTGCGCAACGAACTCACAAGGCACGACGTTCGAATGGAGCAATGCGTATCCAGGTACAGATTAGGTCCGGTACCTATGAGCACACGAGTGCAGTGGTTCGGGGATCTCGTTTAAAACTCCCCGGCCTGAATTACAATCGACCCCCGCTTGGACGATCCGACGGAATGGCAGTTGCGCAGTGTATATAATTGACCAGATTCAGTTAGAGTAAGTGCCTTTTGTGGTTTATGTATGCCTGCACAGAGCTTCCTGGCAAACTGGAATTCCACCTCTCTTATTGGACGGGCGGTGATTGCAAAGCAAAGAGCTAACGCAGGTACATTGCACAGAGTTCGTATTCGCGGCGCATTGGCAGGGGTACTCATAGTCATCATGTGTATCCTGCCCAGACGAGTTAGAGTGACTGCCATTTTCGGATACCTATGCATCATGGCATTCATGAAATGCACTTCGTCGCCAATGGAAGAACCACAACAACAGTGTAGCCGTCAATACCTCACAGGCCACCATGTTAACGATGCATGGTCAGTCAGCCAGATGCCTCTGCGCCATCGTGCGGCATGCGATGTGGGAGCTGCCATCCAGAGGCGGGCTTATCAGTGCCGTTACTTCAGCGCGGCCATATAAGATCGCAAGGACGTCGAAAGGCTCAGGCGTCCTTGACTCATCCGCTTTGTGCAACCCAACTTCTCGGACCCAACACGATCCATCATTGCCACAGACATGTCCTTCTCCGTACAAACAAGAGCGTGCTGCACCAGGCCTCCCGTCGTCCTCCGCGGAGGGTATGATTACAAGGAGAAAGGAGAGTACATCGACTTCAACGGCATGAAGACTTGTAAGACTTCTCCTTCCTCCATATGATGACGACGCTGATGAGTCAGACGTCACTGGCAACCCATCGGCCACTCGCGGCATCTTCCTCTGCTACGACGTGTTTGGGCTTTTCGTGCAAGCCATCAAAGGATGCGACATCTTGGCCTATGGCAGTGACGAAACTCCCGACAATGCTGGGGACTTCAAGGTGTTCATGCCGGACTTTTGGGGAGACCATCCGCAAGACCTAAACAACTTTCCACCGAAGACTCCGAAGCAGCGTCAGGCAGTGTATGACTTCATGACCGGGCCGGCGAACCCAAAGACAGTGCTGCCGCTGATGCAGCCCCTGCATGATGCCTTCCAGAAGCATAGTCCGAAGATTAATTCGTGGTCGCTGGTCGGTTTCTGCTGGGGAGTCAAGATGTTGGCTCTAGTCACAACAAAGGGGACGAAGTTCCAGGCAGCGGCTGGATGCCATCCTAGCCTGATGGACGTCGAGGACGCGAAGAAAGTCAGCGTACCGTTCTGTATCATGCCTAGCCAGGACGAGGATCCTGAGGTAAGTCATCATTACCTCACTGGAGGCCGTTACTGACACTTAGTCATCAGCTTGTAGATGCATGGTTCCATGAGATCAAGGCCAGGAATCCAAACAGCTACCTCGAGACATTTGGCGATCAAGTCCATGGCTGGATGACTTCCAGGTTCGTGCGGCGCTCTCCATGTAGACCTGGCTGACAAACGCTAAAGGGCCGACTTCAACAACCTGCACAACTACGAGGAGTACCTCAGAGGATACCGCATCATGAGGACGTTCCTCGCTGCCCATGCGTAGGATGGCTGAGGCCCGGGGCTTGCCGAGTCGGAGAGGGGACTGAGGATTTGCGCAAGCCTCGAACCGGCCTAGCTCATCCACACTGTAGGAAGGACGAGGAACATAAACTGCTGCGGTGTCGATCATCCTGAATCAGTGCTGACAGCCTCGCATTGATGCTGAAACGTGTTCCCGGTGTAAACTCTGTATCAATGACTCCATGCATCCCTGCGTTCCTGTAGCGCATAAGCCGCGGAAGGAAGCTGTGGACCCAAGGCCTGTTCGCGATCCATCTGCAACAGCGAGGTTTGGGATATCCATATCTGCTCGAAAGAAGAAAGAACGTGACGGGTGTTCCGTTTGGTCGGGCAGGACGCGATACGCGATGCGGAGCTTATCCGCAATAAGAAAAAGCTTGTGCCCTGGCCAAGGTCCTCAAAGTCAAATCGCTTCTTGCGACCAATTTTCATCAACGCACCCTCACAACCAGCAAGCCAACGTCGCATCATCCACCAACGAACGCGTAAGCTACCCACATGAGTATGAGGACCTTTGAAGCAGCAAACGGCCAGCATGGCCGCTTATCAAGAATGCAACGCCCGCGTACCTGCGGTGCCCGAGCGCACAACCCAGCATGTCTGACTACGGGATCTCGGATCCGGAGGCGGCTAACCTGACTGCGCTATCACAGGCACAGATCATTTGCTATCTCAACGACTCCGGCAATGAGTACAATGGCAACCTCGGGGCACGCATCTCCTCGATCTTCGTTATCGGCGGGGTATCGACAATTCTGACCTTCTTTCCTGTTGTCGCAAAGCGTGTACCGAAGCTTCACATTCCGCTCTATGTCTACCTCTTCGCACGCTACTTTGGCAGCGGAGTTATCGTCGCGACAGCTTGATTCATCTGCTGGATCCAGCATACGGCGAGATCGGTCCAGCGAGCTGCGTTGCTTGACCGGAGGATGGAATGGATATAGCTGGCCGCCGGCGATAGCATTGACCAGCGCAATGTTCATCTTCTTGCTGGACGTGGCTGCGGAGCGATACGTCGAGATGAAGTATGGCGTCGAGCATGATCAGGATGTCGAAGGCGTGATGACTGGCGTCAATCGCCAGGAACACGTGCCGAGGGATGCATACGAGAAGAAATTCGTCGAAGAGTTCTCCAGCGACGACACCGACGAGCACGCAAGATCGCTTGCTGTGCGCCAGCAGATTGCCGCATTCCTGATACTGGAGTTCGGTGTGCTGTTCCACAGCGTGATCATCGGGCTCAATCTCGGTGTGTCAGGCGACGAATTTAGCACTCTCTATGTCGTTCTTGTGTTCCACCAGTCTTTCGAGGGCCTCGGCATCGGAGCTCGACTCTCGGCGATACCATTCAAGAAAGGCTCGTGGGTCCCATGGGTACTCTGCGCAGCTTATGGACTTACCACACCTCTCTCTATCGCGATTGGTCTTGGTGTGCATACGACATACAACCCTGGCAGTTTCACCGCCAACGTCGTGAGTGGCGTACTCGATTCGATCAGTGCAGGCATCCTCATCTATACAGGATTTGTCGAGTTGCTGGCACGAGACTTTATCTTCAACCCTCAGCGGACGAAGAACAACTTCAGACTGGCGTTCATGACCGGATGTGTGGTGCTTGGAGCTGGCTTGATGGCGCTATTGGGTAAGTGGGCGTAAGTGTCAAGTCGTTACGAGGCGGAAGGAGTGCATTCAGCGCTCAGTGGTGCTTTTATTTCTCTGCGGGCGACAGCGTGGTGTTCTGCGCGCCAGGCGCCGTATCATCCGTCAGCATTGCTCGAACAGGCCACCGGCCAAAGCTTGACTCGTTGAGATCACAGAATGACTCAGGATCCTAAGGACATTCCTCTCAATGTTGGATTGATAAAGAGATGCATTCCTCGCCCATTCATTGAATGGAGAGACCGGATCAATGCCCAAAGGTTGTGGGTCCGGAGATAATTTTTGGGCAGTCTCAGTACGATTCGGCTTTGATGTCACACGCATCTGAGTTGACTGAGAAGATGGCGGCTGTGTATATCCAAATTGATATTAGACTAATAGTTGAGATATAAAAAGATCGCTTCCCGAACCAAATATGAGAAGCGCGCGTTTGCCAATCTAATCGTCGTCATTATCATCATCCCATCGTATTACCCGTACGCCTTGCTGCAAGTGAAAACGCCTCAGGTACTTAACAGTTGACAAACTTATACAATCATGGTACCGGCATTCCCACGCCGGACGACGCACGGCCATTCTCGGCGGCTGGCCCATCCTCATACGCTGTACGCTGTCCGCTCAAGCTTCTGCCATCGCGAGTCGGCGAGACAGCGATTCGCTCGTCCGGATCCACTCGCTTCTCTGTGCCAGTAGTGGGATCAAACTTGACGCCGACCTTATCTGTGTTGTCCGCATCTGGGTTGACGGTCTCATACTCCAGAGCTTTGATGAACATGTAGAACCCGGACGCCAAAAGGGCGCCGAGAACTGGTCCGACCCAGTAGATCCAGTGGTACGTGTTGAAGGTTCCGAGGACGACACATGGGCCGAAGGATCGTGCTGGGTTGAGCGAGCCGCCGGTGTAGTACACGCCCATGAGTTCGGCAATGAAGAGGGAGAGACCGATGCCGATGGGAGCGATGAAGGTCGCCTTGTGCTTCTCGGCGGCAAGCATGAAGATGGTGAAGACGAGTTGTGAGGTAAGGAACATCTAAGTGCGTTAGTGGTAGTTTCTGGAAGCATGCTGGAAAGCTTACCTCAATGAAGAGACCCTGCACGACAGAAGTGCCTCCACCAAGCTCTGTCCGTACTTGGAGAGGCCCTGGTAGCATGGCAGACACGACCGCTGAGCTGGCGATGCCGCCGAGGATCTGGGCGATGATGACGAGGCAACCTCGCATATACGGCACTGCACCGACGATCATCATTGCCATGGAGACCTGCAACGTATGAGTTGTGAGTCGCATGGAGCAGCGGGAATTACTTACAGCCGGGTTGAAAAGTCCACCACTGATCCGAAAGAACACCCATGCGTTGACCGCTAGACTCATGCCGAAACACAGAGAGATGAAGAGAATCTTGGCTGGATTGGCAGCCAGGTCGGCGGGCTGCGCATCTACCGGAGCTGCATTGACCACGTTCGTGCCGCCCAGTGCAAAGAGCAGGAACATGAACGTGCCGGCAAACTCAGCCATCATGGCAACAAAATGGTTCTTCACACTGAGTGGGAAGATACTGAGGAGCGGGACCCGACGAGAGACAACCGTCTCATTTTCTCCGGGCAGGACATCTTTGCGTTTCTGCCAGGGAAGGCGAATCTGGCGTGCTGGTCTGTCGATGTTCATGTTGGTGACAGGTTTGAAGCTGCGAAAATGGTTGTCGAAGATGCTGAATCACGGCGAGGCAGTCCTGGACCACGAGCATTGTAATGCTATATTATCAGTATCAAAAGCCCATGACGTCCTGCAGTAAATGACGAAATGCCACGCCCCGAAGGACCGCTTCGAGGATCGACGTCGTCTGGGCTGGGCGAATGGGAAACAGCCATGCGCTTCGAACCCTGGTTCAGGTGCCACAGACATGGCTCGTCGTGCCGAAACTATCGGACAAGGTTTGGCGATTTCCTGATGCTAGGCGATGATGAACTTTTGCATTACGAAGGTGGAGAACCTTGTGCAATCAGACCATTCTTGCCCTTGGATGGGATACTCCTTCCGCTGCAGCACGGCATGAGCAGTGGAAGTGTCTTGTATGCGCATCGCCAGCCACCGTGCCACTTGCTGGCTCTGTGGAAACCATTGCAAAGCGCAATCGTATCGTACTGTAGCACTGTAGCTTCTGCTGTCCAGCAGGGTCGAAGAGCGCCCACGAGACATGGCAATCACCTGGCGGCGCCTTCAGCCACCTCTGCCTGTCCCAAGAACGTGGCTTGAGAATTGGCAATCGAGATTTGCTAGGGTATGACGCGGGGGCTTACGGATTTACCAAACTCTGTCATGACGTTCCCCATCGATCGATCGACCAGAGTCTGGATCTCCCGACTTCTATTTTTCTTTAATATGACGTGGACGTGTACGGAGATTGTATGTGTTTGTCAAAAATGTAGAGAAGGCGGATATGTGTAGCAGAAGATGGAAGTCTGTGAGCGCTTGGGAAAGACGTTGCAAAAGAGTCGAAGCGAAATGCTGCAGCATCCTGGCAAGCGCCACAGGCAGACAAGGTGCGATCCTGGCGTACAGCCACACCCCTGACCAGCGCCACAGACAAGCGAGACAAAAGCTCCCCACATCCTTGCAAGCGCCACACATGGGCATGGTGCAGCCCTGGAGAACAGCCACAGTTCCTGAACTGGTGGGAATTCTCCCACATCACGCTCATTTCGCAGCCATGCCGTCCTGTGATGTTTGAGCCTACTACTTTCTTCACCTAAATTGAATTCTGATGTCTTGTTGTGAACCCGAGAGCGGGCGCGACACCAAATCCAGCAAGCCATGAAACTATGAGCCGGTCACAGGATTCATGCAGAGCGGGATCATTCGCCTGGGCGGATGCAATTGCTTCCGCAGCGACATCACCTGCTGCAATGGCGGCCAGCAATATTGTAGCCTCCATCGTCGACGCATGCGGAACCGTCTCACCGATAGCAGTCAACCGCACTGCCGGCTTTATGGCCGGCGGCCCTTCATGTTACTGAAGCGTGATCATGCGGCGACCAGAACCACGCTTTTGATCATCGCTGCCACACCCGCTTGCGTTTGCCTCTTCAAGCCTACACGCGAGTGCGCTGCTAGTGACCTCAGTTCGTTCTTCGGCTTCAGATGGCGCCACGCAAGCTGCTTTGCTAGGTGCTCGGTCCGTGTGATCGGTGATGATGCTAGGATCAGTCGTCTTGCTAGGCAGGATCAGAGGATGTGGTGACGCCGGGAGGTGAGCGCAGTCTTGCTTCGACGTATATCTGGTTGCGGTGAGCGAAGACACGAGACAGCTTGCGCCATGGTTTGCCATATACAAGGCATCGCGCTTCACACAATGTTGCTGTCGCTCGACCACGACATATCTGCAGCGCCGCGACGACCTCGTCTGTTGCGTTGTCGTGCTGTTGTACCGCGGAGCTGTGATGCGGTGCCAGCCGTCCTTTTCCTGCATAGCCTCCCTGTCGCACTCGAGCGCTATCAGTTGACGCGACAGACGTGAGTAGCCTGTATATTGCCGCGGTCATGCGCCTCTGCAGTTCCGAGCAAAGCCGATGACGAAGGACGGCAGGACCTTCACGTGTTGAAGTCCGACCAAGAGACTGGACAGCGACTGGCTTTAGAACGAATTTTCCACCCACGAACCTTGATATTGTCCCAACCTAGCGCAGAGCACGTCAATGATCCTTCGAATCGCTCGCAGTCATTCCCAGAGAAGACCAGGTAAGCTCGGTCGGATTGCGAGACAGAGGTGTGCGCTGACGGTCCATCTGCGGCTAGGTGTTGGGCTCTCCACCGCATCCAGAACTTGGGAGTGCGGAAGGAGTTCTTTTCGAACGCAGATGCGCGGTTGTCAAGGTCTGGTTCGAACGAGTCAACGTCGTCGCCACTGCCGTCACCGTCAAGTTCCTCAGTCTGTTCGCGCATATTTCTTCCGCCTGCGTTCTCAGAAGTCTCTACGTCTTCTTCGAGCTCCTCAATTATGCGCGACAATGTTTTCCTACTGCCAGCCAGGACACACATTCCGCTGACGCGCATGTCTGCTTCTTGCTTTGATTCTTCGAAGTTGAAGGTACCAAGTAGTCCATCCTCACTCTGCGTCAATTCGTGGAGCTCTAGCCACATGTGGGATGCTTGCTCGTTGCCATTTCGTCCCATGCGCGATTTCGAAGGAGTGTTGGAACCGACCGATAAGTCGTAGCGTCCGAGCGCTCGTAGTGGATCAAAGGGCTTGTTGCCGCCGCGTCCGCCGCCTTTGCCTTTCCTTCCTGAGCGACCATGTGGGATTCTGCGGGACGTCAAGGCGCGAGATATCGGGTCGTCATCGTCCTCCATTGAGAGCGGTGGCAGGCTTGGATGTAAACACGCGGGTCTACATCGTGTTGCGGGTAACTGGGGACGAGCTGGGTGCGGAGGAATATATTCGCAGAACGCTCGCGTTGGATGATGTCATGAGATGATCACTTGGCTCCCTCAGAGCTTCCAACTTCAAGCCCCTACGTTCATTGTCACAGTACACAAGAAAAGGCGATAGTCAATACTCAAAGCCGTCAATTGCAACACCATTCACTACTCAATTGCAATGCTCATGTTCTGTAAAGAATTGGCAGACTATCCAAGCGCCGCATCGAAAGCAAGCGGCGCATTCGGTATCCGAATTTGCATGAGCTGGCTATCCGGCTGGACGCGCAGAGCCCGGTTTACCCACGGGAAGCAAGCGCCTCGCGTCTGGACACCGACTTCGGATCGAAATATGGCTTCTCGCCGAGCGATACGACGCGATTGCCCTGTCTTGACCCCTCGTAATCATTTGTCGCAGTGTGGAAGACGGAGCGGTTATCCCAGATCGCCAGATCATTCTTTCCCCAACGGAAGCGCACCTGCAAGTCGTGGTTCTCATAGATCAAGCGCGTGAAATGGCCCTTCAGCAACTCGCTTTCAACCTCGGTGACGTTGTCGATCCAGCCCTTCTCGACCTGGTGGCCCGCGGCGAACAATGACCTCCAGCCCGTGACGGGATTGGTTCGCACAACTGGATGGGAAGCCTTGAAGTCGATGCCGGTGTTTTCTGGCGCACCGCGGTCTGTCTCGATCAACTCCTCGCCGAATTCCTTGGCCACACGGACGAAGTTAGGTTGATGGTGCGTTGCGGTAAGACGAGTCGCAAGGTCCTGGAATTCCGGCGAGAGGCGATCATATAATTCATACCCGGAAGCCCACAGAGTGTCGCCGCCGGCGTCGTTGGGTGGCTGAATGATCTTCAGGATTGCATAGTCCGATGGGATGTGCTCGAAGGTGATGCTGTGGGTACCGTCAGGTAAGTCCGGGCAATGTGGATGATGTACTTACTCCGCATGCCAGCCCTCGCTTGCAAGGCGTTTCGAGCCGGCTGTGAATCGATCCTTGTAGAACTTTCGGTTCTGGTCGCTGGAGATGACGGAGACTTCGTCGTCAAGTTTACCGTTCTCGTCAACTGCGATTCCGCGCTTGCTGTTGCTGAGCGCGTGTCGATGCAACTTGCATGGAGTCAGCATGTGCAAGACATCGACTTGAGAGGACAGGTACTTTTGAAGTCTCAGGCTTGCCGGTGAGCTCGCCTAACTTCTGGCCGAGGATCTTCTGATCCTCGATGTTCAAATCTTGGGATCGGAAGAACACGACGCCACGCTCAGAGACTAGTCGACGGTCAATACGTTACTTTGCGCTCATCCTCTTGGTCCTACCCGTGATTGCGAGGTCACGAAGCTTCGCGTCGTCGTTGAGGATCTGGCTCAACTGCAGATCGACAAACTCCCGACCAATGACATTGGTAACGTCGAAGTGCTTGTACTGATCCAAAGATCCCGAATACTTGAGCGGAGACTTGCTCGACACCGATTTGAGGATCTTGGACGGAATGGGTGTTACAACATCGGGAGCCAGGTCGACGTCTGCAGCAGGAGGTGCCATTGCGAATTGCTTCAGAGCTGTGAGGGTCTGGGTGGTCTTCGGGTTCTTGCTCGAGCAGCAAGCGTGTTGATATACCAGCAGGTGTAGCTACTCGGCCTGCTTCGTGCCGTTATACCCGTCTACTTTCCACCCAGGTGCTTGGAACACATGTATATGGGGCAGCTCTTCACGCATGCCACGGTCGAGACTTCCTTGATGGGTGTATACACGCCTGACGTGGAGAATAGATAAGACCCTCTTTCGCATTGGTGCAACTCATTGGCCATCGTGGAGATCCCTGAGCGTCGCCAGCATGCACTTCAGTCACCATACGTGCCCCGGAAGACGTGCTCTTTGCTAATGAGGGGTGCCATCGTATGGGACAGCAGCCCAGAACGCCTACCATTGCTCGTATTGATAAGCGTGGGCTCTCGAACACCTTGCGTGATCTCGTTCTCGGATGGTGATGATCACCTCATCTCTGGGCAGTTTGCGTGATGTGTTGTTTCTTCAGTTCGTCTCGCGAGCACCTCATTCATGATTATCTTGCGTGAAGTCAGGTTGACCAATCAGCATGCGTTGTTTCACGAGGTCGTAAGCCCGGGGCATGCCTTGAGCGACAGATCTTTCCGAACGCGGCATGGACTCTTATAAACAAGGCATACGAAAGCATTGATTGGTTCTATAGAATTGTTTCCACGTGCGCTTGTCCTCCGTATCCCCAACGTTACTTCCTAGGTCCCCATATTGTCTTGCGTCGGCAGAATTATCGCTCGCCCGCGTGCTACCTTCGTCGACCCTTGCATCTACCACCTCAGGTTCCCTATTGTGGCTGAACAGTGCCCCTCTCATGCAAGTCTGATTCGAAAGCCTCATGTAGCGAAGCGGAAGTCTAGCCTCTTGTTCCCCTTGTCCTTCGTCGTGGCCAGATAGTGCGTCCGCTCTCCCGCGGTCATCGACTCCCACTTACGGTCGCGATAGCGATTGCGAAGAGTGTAATAGAGCTTGGCAAATGCGTAGAGTCCGACATTGATGACATTCAGAGCCACTAGCACACGATTGCCACGGCGGTACCTGGGGCGATCATCTGCGAGTAGTCAGAAAGTCGCCTGGTACCGAGGTAGGAGACTCACCTTTGCGGTAGATATTGCTAGCGATAATGCCCGAACTCTGGCAAGCCATGTTGTACATTGCAGCACTCACAGTTCTGCTGCGTACAGAGTTGGAGTTGCGGGAGTTCCAGCCAACCTGAATGGCGTGCACGCTTGGATATGAAAGCAAGAGGGTCATGATTCCGTAAGCTGTCCACTTGTTGATAGAGTTGATATCAACTGCGTAGATGTACGACAGAAAAGGCATTACCCATAGCTGGGCAAGCAGGCCCCAGATCCAGAGCTGGCCTAGAACTTCCGACAGGTAGGTGAACGAAAGCATGGTGATGATGTGGCCAACCTGGGAAGGGATAACGAGTAAATTTGTCTTGAAGGTTCCGAAGCCGAGCTGCTTCAGCGTCAAGGTCAGATACTGGTAAGGCGTTGCTGTAGACGTGTTAGCGGCTGGGAAAACAGGACTGGTCAACGTACTATATGGTGTCTGGAAGTTCAGCCCGAGAAGGTAGAGCGGCCAGAGGTCGTAGTCCGAAAGACTCTCCCACAGCAGCCTCGGTGTGATGGGCTGTCTGTTGTGCATCGTACCCTTGCTTGGATCTTCTCGGATGATTCTGTTGACCATGATCGTCTCCTCGCTGTGCAACGCGTTAGCTTGCAATCTGAAAAGAGTGAGGGACTCACCGCTCCGTGAACCACCCATTCTTGCCTCGGAACCAGTTCTTCGTCTGTGTTGGCGATGGTGGCATCAAGCCGAAAGCCAGAAGTCCGAGGACGAGGGTCAGAAGTCCCTCAACAAGGAAGAGCCATCGCCAGCCGGAGTAGCCAAGATGGCCACGAAGATGCAGCAAGCCAAAGCCAAAGAAGGCTGCAAGGATGTCTGCGATTGACATGGCAGTCCACCAGAAGCCCAGCCGAATGGAGAGTTCAGCGTGCTTGTAGAAGTAGGAGAGATAGAGAATCATCTGGGCACGTCAGTCGTGTGCCAGAGATGGAATAGGGCAACGTACATCCGGGATGAAGCCGCCTTGCAGAAGGGCAAGCAGAGCTCTGCAGGTCAGGAAGCTGCTGCGTCCGCTGAGCCAAAACTGAGAAGCGGCGACGATAGACCACAGCACCATCTGTGCCGGAATCCAACGGTCAGGTCCGATCCATTTCGAAACCAGTTGCGAAGGGAGCTCGGCGCAGAGGAAGCTCAGCTTGAAGACCGTGTTGCCCCAATTGTAGTCTGTATGGCGTTAGTGGACAGGCGTCGGTACACAGGAGTGTCAAACCATTTGTATCCATTCCAAGGTCTTCGAGAAAATTGTCAGTCACAGCCTGCTGGATGTTTGCACGATCAAGCTCGAGCGACATGAACATGATGCAAGCGAAGATCATGATCTTGAGGTCAATCTTCCGCAAGACTGCATACTCTTCGCCCCATGTCCAGCGAGCAGACGGGTCGAAGCGGTGCAGATTCTCCCAGTCGGAGCGAGGTTGGTAGAGCTTTGCTGTTTCTGGGTCGTCGTAGACCGATGGCAGTGTTGCGATTGCATTCGGGTCGTAGCTCTTGCCTCGCTGCCACCAGAAGCGCTTTTCTTCGGCAGGGACGCCTAGATTCTGTCCATGAGTATCAACTTCGGCGCTGAGCTCTTCCTTCGAGGAGTCCGCAAAGATCTGCTGGCCTGTCACTGTGGCATGCTCCTTGCTGATCTCGATCGTGTTGCGTGCTAGGACGGTAGCCATGTTGATCGTATGACCGTGTCCTGGCTGCTGAAGGCAAGTCTTGCTCAAGAGTCTGCTTTATACCCAGTGCTGGTGTTATCGCCTCGACAGTTGACCATGTGGCCTTGTATCCGAGGGCATGGACTGCGTAGCCGAGTATCAGCGTCTAGACGCGCACGCAATCAAGCCAGCCCTTCTCGCCATCGGGTCGTGGTTCCATCCTTCAAAAGTAGCTTGTCAGATCGTGTTGAACGTGGGTGCTTATCAGCACGCCGAGCGATACTAGCCAGCATTGCGTGCTGGAACCGGGATATTGCTCAGAGACATGATTGCTTATTCGGAAGCTCGTTTGATACTTCCAGAACTGCCCACGGCGCTTATGTATACCAAGCAATGCTGCATGAATCGGCTGCATGGCGACATGAATGGGAGATATAGTGTCCCTCTCCATGTCAGAGCAAGGTCCAAGCGAGGGTCGTTTCGCTATCGTCAGAAGAGAGGAATCTAGATGTCAGTCCACATTGTGAGAAGCATACAATCATGCCATATGTACGCCAAGTATTGCTTCATGGGTGTGCCAAATCGCGACATCAGCACGAAAGAAACGTGGTTTTCGGGGTCAGAGCGATGCCCGCACGGCGTCGATTCGTGCATTGCAGGATAGAGAGTGCTAATTGATCCGCGCGAGATCTTGCTCTCGAACCGGATCATCTCGATTACATCGTTCGCACGAGTGTGGAAGTGTCAGAAAGCCGGCCCTGCACCATCGCGGCGCGCATGAGGAATGGGGCGGCCTGCTGCCGCAGCTTCTACACCTCCCTTGGCTTCAAAGTGGCGCGTTCGCGACAAGCACGATCCAAAACAAGACCACCGGCGTGGCAGTCGGTATTGTACATGGTAGAGAAGAGAGTGCAGAACATAAGGAATGATTTATGTTCCACTGTGTATTTCTGCTGTACCGTAGGTTTGAGTCAGGTGTGCCGTCACTGCGAGTCAGCAGGATCCCCGCACCCAGGCGGCATGAGTCCGGTCAGACATTAACTCCTTATCGCCGACACGTTCAACGCAGGCGACAAGAATGTTGATGCCCCATGTATGCAGTCTTCTCGTAGCAAGACTTCGTTCGACCATGCGATGAGCGCACACCCGCTTGCCGGTTGGTCGTGAAAGACACGTCTGCCAACGGAATGGACGAACTACCATGTCGACTCCAGCCCGTTGACTCCGACGGGCTTCTCTGCCAAGGTAGTGATGCGAAAGCCATGACGAAGGCCGTCCTCGTCGCTTTGCACGTTATAGTCGTTGATCGCGGTGTGCGCCGTGACGCGATTATCCCAGAGCGTCACGGTCCGATCGTCCCACTTCACACGAACCTCTGTCATCTGTTAGCAGACTCCTGGTTGGCGACGCGGTACCTACGGAGATCGGCAGAGAGTGAGATGTGCTTGAAGAGGAGCTTCAATATGGCGTCCGACTCTTCGACCTTGAGTCCGATAATGCGCTTTGTGAAGCCAGGATTGAAGAAGAGAGCTTTGCGACCGGTTGCCTGCACGTTTCAGCGACGTACGCCAGAGACGGGTCTTGGGTCACGTACCGGATGCACTCGCACAATCGGGTGCTCACTGCTTACAGGCTCTCTGCGAACGAACTTACTGTCCCGCCTGGCATTCTCTGCCTGAGGAAATCCGCTGTGCTCTGCTTTCAGTCCTTCGAGCAGCTTCTTGATGGGTTCACTCAGCCGTTCGTACGCCAACGTCTGATTCACCCACGCAGTGTCGCCGCCAGTGGAAGGCACAGTGAGAAGCGTGAGAAGAGTTATGCCTGGCGTTTGATGCTCGTAAGAGACATCGCTGTGGTACCCAATTGAGGTGAGTTTAGCAGACCGCTGCTGTGCCCGATACAGGTTGTCTGAGCCAAGGTATATGTTGTGCAGTTCGAGATTGTCCTTGACGTGAGCGCCGACGGGGTGGATGTGCAGAGGTCCAAAGTACTGTCCAAAGGCTTTCTGTTTTGCGGTGCCGATGTCCTTGAAATCCTGATCGCGGAAGACTACGACGCCGCGCTCCGCCAGGAGGAGAGCAAGCTTATTCTTCTGGGCATCGCTTAGTTGTGACAGCTGCAGTCCGGTGATCTCTGTTCCGACGCCAGGCGTCACTCACGTCACTTTTACGCGTCCATTGTCATCCGACAAGAGGTTGGGCTTCTTCGGATCTGCCAGAAGCGCTTTATCCTTGAACTCGAATGGTTCCAGAGGCGGAAACTTGGTTTCCTCGTCGTACCTGAATATTGACCAGCTCTTAGCATAGCACAAGAAATGTAGATGGATCTTACACTGGTAAGTACGCACTGTACTTGTACTACGCCTTTGTTAGTAGGTGGCTCAAGCGACGCATCTGCACGCTCACAGCTTTATGTGCCTCCTCGTCGTAAGCTGCTGTGAGCTTGACCTGTTTGGAAGCAACAGTCTCTGTGGTGGTCGCCATGGTCGCGAGTACGCTTTGTGACAGACCTGCACCATATAGATCCAAGAGCAGTATTTGTGCGTAGCTGAGCAGCAATCGTGCCGCTTCCCCGCATGGCGGAATCTGAGTTGCAGCGCACGCCATCTTGAGGATGCAGCATAAGTTCTGGGGATCCACTGATCCCTCCACAGTTCCGCTCGTACGTCGTCAGTCGATCCCATTCGTTCCTGATTGCGATCATGCGGCAGGCAAGTAGCAGTGGCTACGGGACCATGACGATGTATCGCCTGCATTGACTTCTGCGCAATCGCCTCGCGTTGGCTCAGCACAGCCGCGAAGGGAGATAAAGCGCTTGAAACTTCAATCGTTCTTCTTTCTCAGCACACCTGGCCGTCGTCGTCGTCTCACAGCGAGATCGGGCTCGATAGGAGGAGCACTAAGTCCGAGTCTAGCATAGGAACCGGAGTGATTGAATATATTGTCGTTGGTGACTAGTGCAAGGTGCTAGGTGCTAGATCAGAGTGCTTGGGGTTAGTTCTAGCATCAGTGCTGCCAGGAAAGATTAGTGGCTGCAATTGTGCCAGATGCTAGGAACCCAGAGTGAATATTGTTGCCCTGCCCACTCCACCTACCCATCATTGAGGTTCAGGTTGATCATCAACCTGCCAAGCCGCCCATACA